AATAAGTTAATTTCATATGCCTACACAAACGTTACCTCTTCTGTCTTAAGTTTTCTATCTGTGCTGCAAGAGTAATCATTTATATTGCCGAGTCTTCGTCCCTCAGTACTACCACAAAATTGAATCAGGACATTTACAAACATTTAAGCTCTGATTGAACCTGCTTAGTAAAACTGATCACTGATATCCGGATGGTTAGTTATTGGAAATGCAATGATCAGATTTTGTGACCTGTTTTAGTCTCTGTTTTTGCTTTATAAGCTCTTACTTGCACATATCTTTTTTCTTTCCAGCAGATTACCATTTCCTATTGAGAACTAAAATATGGACACGTATAAAAATAAGTGTTTATTAAAACTCCTTCCTGCTGTGAGCGGTCTACTCATGTAAGAGTCTGTTTCATATTGACTGTGACGTTGCTGCCGTAGCAGCATTATTGTCTTCAGTAGCAACACCTATTGTGTGGGAGGAGAACTGCAGCAGCAGTGTGGCACATTAAACCTCTATGTAGGCTGAATACAGTGAGATTTTTTTCAATTTATAAATACATATTTTTAACACCGCACTGTGGCCACTTGTTTCAGGACTTGAGAGAATGTTGTTGTGGAATCCTACTAGCCTGATACGTCTTACAGAAACAGATTTTCTTTGTTCAGTAATAATTCTCAGTATAGTAGAATAGTGTCTTCCATCCTCGTCAATTTTACCCAATTGCAATGTTCTGTTGCATCAAAACGTATTGAAAAAACGGTTCTGGAGTGAATTGCATCCCGTCTGCGATTCGTTGCTCATGTTTGTTTCTGTGTGTGAATGCCGCAGAACATTGAACACCTTAAGTTACAGCTCACAACAAGAAAGTATTTGGTACACAGGCTCACATTTCAGAGTTAACACATCAAATGCATCGAATTGTGGATTCTTGCAAAAATCCTTTTGAATCTGTAAATTGTAAAGTAAGATGATTCGTTCTGAAGTCATAAATTGTAAAGTATTTTACAGCTTCATACAGGAGATGACACATTCAGACCAGACGTATTTTAAATGTAAAACTTCAGGGTCATGTTAAAAAGGCTTTTATTCTCATTTCTGGGATGCCATCAAACGGCAGTATGACATGTTTATTTAGGCCAATCTGAGAGTCCAGCACTTACATATTTAACCCTTTATGATCTAAATTTAGATGAACCGTCCCTTATTTTAATTGTATGCAGTTCTTTAAATGTCCTGTGAGTAATTGTATTTGCCCTTTTATCTATAACAACTGGAACTGTCAATATCTAACAAGTTATTTTCGCACTTTACTGTCTATTACAAGCGTGCCCTTCAGATTAATTTCACTCCATGCTACGGCGGGGGTGAAACTACCGTAAAAATCCAATATTTGCTGGGAAGCACCAGAAACAGTTGGAATTTTTCAGATGGCTCTTCGTGTGGCAGAATTACACTCTTTTTTTTGTAAATTTGGCTGGATGTTCGACGATCTGTTTAGGACTTACAGGGTTTAGGAGCCGTGGTAGAGACGGTGAAAATGGTTAGGTCTGGTATGTTTGTTGTCACTTCATAGTCAGATTAGTACAGAATACTTTTGAATTTTTGGATTCTGAGCTTCATATCTTCAGAGTTGGTTATGACAAGCCCATGTGGCTAATTGTTTAAAATGCTTTAGTTGGTTTAAATATTGTTTTATAATTGTCCCGTATTGCATATTCAGTTTGTTTTCATTCTGCCCTGATGAGGCTGTTTGGATCCGTGTTGTTGGTGTGTCTACATGCATGTACCTCTGTGTGGATGTGTTTTTCTTTTTCTTTTTGGCATCTAAACATAAAGCCTAGATATATTTCTTGGCTGCTTGACTGTCAGACTGAAAGCGTGGGAGGTGATATTCATAGAGGTGCTTTTAGTGGGACTTTTATGAGAGACTTTTTTCCATGGCTGTAAGGAGGTTGACCACACACACAGCAAGGTTGCTCGGGCTCAGCAAGCACCCCCGTGTGTTTGTGCGTGCACATGCTCGCCACTCTTCCTTCAAGCACGCCTGCGTGGGCCGCCAGGGGTGTGTTCTGCTTCATGTTTTGTTTCGGAGAGCCCTCCTCCCTGCTACGGAAGTGTTGCCGGAAGCAGTGGGAGCTCACCCCCGGTTCTGCGTCAGTGCCACTAAAGAAAGGATTGGGGCTTTCCGGGAGGAGGGAGGAAGGGATGGGGGCTGTCAGCCTGGGTATGTCACGGCCATGTGGGTGGTTGTCTCCGCACGCACTCACGCACGGACACACACGCTCAGGCGCAGTCACGACTATGCTTAGAGTAGCTATTCTTGTATGCACTGCATCTCATGCTTGCTCCAAGTAAAGCCCCTCTGCTTTGAAGGGGAATTTTAAGGAACCTGAACAGTTGTGAGAAAGTTCACCCACTTTTACGTCTGTGGATGTGGAGTTTAAAGTTCACGTGTGTACTTGAGTGTTTTTTCCTGACAATGTGAAGAAATTTGGTCTTGACCAGAAGTGCTCATTTGCTCGGAAGTGATGTTCTGTCCCTGTTTACCTCTTCTGTCATCCTGTTTGGGGTCCTGTACTGAATTTGTATGCCCTGCCACTGTTAGGAAGGACCAGTGGTGTCAGAAAGTAAAACCAGTATCCTTAGATGCTGGAGTACAACTTGTATAAGCCCACCAGCAGTAATATACTGCAGTAAAATAAAAGAAAGGCAAAAAAAAAAAAGAATCTCTTTCCTGCCAAGGCAGAAAAAGGAAAGCAATGTGCAGAACCCTGTGGCCTGCACATCCTAAGGGATGTTTTCATCTTTCTCTGCTTCCCCAACTTGTTTTAATGTCTGCCATTTGAGATACTCCAGAGGGGCTGCACCTGTTTGCCTTTTGGCTAGGAGCCCCCCCATATCCCTCCTCCTGCCCCCACCTGCCACTCAAGCAACTGCTCCTCCTGGGATGGATGGATGGATGGAGCAAGGAAGGAGTGGAGGAGTGTGGGGTTGCGTGTGGTGGAAGGGATAGCTGGAGGGCTTGAAGGCGTCCGGGAGCGAGAGCAGAGATGTAGGCACAGATAGTGAAAGAGAATATAGTTTTCAATCCAAGTCCAGTCTCCCACACTGGACAAGGCGCTCCTACTTCGGAGTACTCTCTCTTTAATGTTCGACCCTCCACATTCTCCTTTATTTCTGTACTCTCTCTCATCTGCTCTCTCCTCCTGTACAAACCCACATCTGCTCGCCTTCTCTCCTGTGTTAGCTTGTCCTTTCAGTCTATTGTTCCTTTGCTCTTCTCCAATTTCTGACTCATTCTTCTTTACTCCCAGCATCTCCCACTCCTCTCCTTTAAGTTTTTCCCTTTGCTCCCCTTTCTGCCCCTGTTCGCCTTTTCCTCCCCGATGGCACCGCTGTAATCTGCAGTGACCTCTTTGGGTCACATTAAAGGTCACCCAGCTTTACTCTCGTGCTCCCCTAGGGCCACACTCGTCTAAATCTCTTTTCTCTGATTCTGGCAACTATAATCAAAATGTTCTGTCTATAAAACCCTGACTATTTGATTTAAAGTGTAAAACACTGATGCATTAATGTGAGCTGATTCAGAGAATGCACGATTTTTGTTGTTGTTTTAAATAATGTTCACTTACAAATTCAGACAAAAGGAGAAGGAAGAAAATACTGTCATATTACAATTCAGGAAAATAAATACAAATAGCCTGATTTACCTATTTTTATTTATAGCTTTCTCAAATAATATTGTTCAATTCAAAAATTTCGCAGAATTTTCTAAACCGAATGACACTGTACTTTTGTGATTCTGGGTAATACACAGATTTTTTTTTGTGTGTGGGCAAAATGAAACTGTCTGCCATGGGACATTTTGTACTGACCATTTATCAACTGGTACGCGTCTGAAGGACGTTTCGTACCCACTTTGACAACCGATAATTTAACGTCATTTTAAATGATCTACTCATGGTGTTCTGTTTGGAAATTAAGTTTGGTTGGTCCAGTAAATAAAAACTAAAGAGTTATTCTGGTTTGATATGAGGTCATAATCTGTCATAGAAGAGCAGACCGGCTCCAAATGAAGATCTGAACTAAAAAAAAACACAATAAAAATACAGTGCAATATAAAATCCCAACAAACGACGTTAGCATGAGATTAAATTATACTCAAACTATGAAATTTTTTAGTGTTATTTAGCTCCATAAAGCACAAGAAATATGTAACTACAAAAAGAAATGAACTGCTTATGTTAGAAACATCATACCACACTGCATGTTATGCTGTTTTGTACTATTTCCACATTTAATATATGCGGAACATATAAAAACAAAACAAATCTTTCTCAAATATTAATTTATACATTTCTTATAAGTTTCTTAGATTTAAGATATTGTAAAATGATAACTGTTTTTCAAGGGTTCAAGTCATTGTTGTGAAATTTGTCAGTATGTTTTTCATCTATTTATTTATTTTCTGGACAAAATGGAGCCATCTGCCATTGGCCATGGGAGCTTTTGTACCAACTGTGTGTCTATTGATAATGGCCTCAAGAACGTTTCGTACCCTCCATGACAACCTGATCCAATCATCGTCTGCGATGAGAAAATTAGGTTTGTCGAGCCAATAAATGAGATCTGCCAACAGGAGGATGCAGAGAGTTATTTTGGTTTGATCAGAAGACATAAGTTGTCATTATTTTTTTTAAATAAAAGTTGCCCTAATTGGGAATCAAAAATGGAAACAGGATGAAAAATAAAACCTTATATGACATTTTGCAATTAGATTAAATTATACTTAAGATTGGAGCATTTTTTTTCCTGTTACTAGTGTTGAGAAATTTGTAAAGAAAAAGTAGCTCCCAAGAGAAATAAGCTGATATGTAATGGTTTGTATATTTTAAAACAACACTCATTTGTAGTTTCTGTTCAATAAATGTACATAAAACAAGTTTCCTAAGTGTTTCTGAGTTGTCTGGATTAACTTGCTAAACTTTCTCCTGGTGTGTGATTTGCAGAACCGCGGGCGCTTGGCAGAGAAACGCACCATCCCACTTCCACCCAACCGGGTGCCCAAGAAGGAACTGGCTTCGATTTTCAGCAGCGACGACAGCGAAGGCAGCGAGCGGGCCAGCGGGGATCATGCCCACATCAAGCAGGAGGAGGATTTGCATTATAGTATCATGAGAAAAAGGTAAGGCACCTCTTAGTTGTAACGCCAATACCGTCTGTGAACAGGTTCTTCATCTTGAGATGAAAAATGGCAGCTGTGTTTCTGAAAAGCCTTCAGTTTCTGGGGCTTTGGTTCTGTCCATCTTTGTTTTATTTATGTTATAAAATGAATATGAAGTAAATTTTATGCGTCACTTTCTAAAATGGTTTCGTCCTTTTGCCTGTAAGCAGAAATGTTGTGTCTCATAGAGGAATGGCCCTGTCAGGAGTTTTTTGTCCCCTACACTGATCTGAGTAATTTAGCAAATATGAGGTCTCTCTGTCTGATAAGACACACTATCAGTATTACATGATTTGTATTTGAAATATGTTGCTTTTGACACATCGAACCCTGAAATTCTCAACGTAGCTGTTCGTTTTTTCTAAAAAATTAAAACTGTTTTGTCCTTTTCATAGTAACTACAGGAAGCCCAGGATATGTTTTACCAACATATCCAAAAACTACAAAGATTATTTTTGACAATGCTAAATCTAGAACCTGCATAACTAAATCTTTTTTTTTTCTATATCCGAATAGGTACAGCTACAATTTTCAATAAACTTTGTTATTATCCAAAGGGGTTTGTTAGACTGTAAAACTTCAGATAGCGTTTCTACTCTCTGTTTTGATGAGTCACTATTCATTTGTGTTGTAACATGTTTGAGTGCAGTTTCAGTTGGGGGTGTTGAGATAAAACTCTCACGAAGGCAGCTCTCCTTCTTCATAAACTCAACATTTTGCCTTGGACATCATAAAATGCATTGTAGTGTCATGAGCTGCAGCAGCCAATACAATCACTCAGTGTCATTGAAAGGGGTAAAACAGTCTTGGGTTGTTCAGGAAAACCCACATTTGTCTCATCAAACCCTGCAATTTGGTTTTGCAAGGTGTGCACACAAAGCTAGGCTGAGACTTTTAAAAACTACTCACAATGTGGTGGCTTGGCTTGCTAGACTGAGAAGGACTAATCTTTCAAACAATCCTTGATCAGCACCATTTGCTGAACACTTGGGTACAGTTGGCACGTCTTTCAGACCGAGAGGGAGCCATGCCTCAATAACACATGCTAAATTTGGGCTTGGACCAGCTAATGAAAGCTTGAAGCTATTTATTTGTTAATGCTACTGCTTTTTATTTCTCATATATTTCTTGGCTGAATTTCTGTCTGCTTCATCTTAAGCTGCGTGTTGATGGGGAGCAGCTTGACTGGAGGATGTTGATTAGGATGAAGTTCTTAGTATGACTTACCTTTATGTTTGGTGTTGCACTATGATCTATTTTACAAGGTTTAATGACGGGTAATTTTAGTTTGATTTTGTAATTAATTTGTACCTGTGATGGAGTCTCTACCCCCAGAAACTGCGCAACTCAGTAGAGGAAGTACAAAGACCTGAAATGATGTTCAAACTCACACAATCTTCCAAAACGCATGAGGTCATTGATTTCTGTTTAATTTGTCTCGATTAATTTGCCTGGTTTATCATTACCATGTGGATTTTCTGCTCAGATTGCATCCATGGAAGAGTTTTTTTTTTGTATGGGATATATTTGGCCGATATGAAGCTGAATTCATTCATTGATGAACTCAGAAAATCCCCATCTGAATCACAAACAGCTTGTGCAACCTCGCTAAACGGGGGATGTTTTTTTTTTCTCGTCTTGAGGCTTGCGTGTGACGCGGCGGACAGCACAGCTACTGTGAAGCTTTAAATGGATCCACTAACCTCGTTTAAGAGAGCCTCCCCTCCCCCTGACACTTGGGCCGCTGGCGTGTTAAGATGATAATGAATTTAAAGAACACTTATGACTAATATATCAGGTTTTTACCCTTTTGAAAGGCGGCGGACACGCTGGAGCCGCAGCTCCGGTCTGTCGTTGGCATCTGTCTGGGCCAGGCTTTATCCCGCCGACGTGGGTCTGGACAAACAGGATAATGGGATGTCCAATCATGAAAATGTGATTTCCATTGACCGCAGCTTCGTAAGTGAGTCGTGGAAGGGTCTTAACAAATTGGATTTGGTCAATGGATGTGAAAAATACAGGGCCTCTGTGTACATGTGTCAGTGTATCTGTGCTGTCTCTCCCTCACATCATCGGGGCTGACGGGAGGTCTGTCACACCCACTCAGCTGTAACAACTTGTCTACTATTACTGTATTCTAATACATACATCAAATATGTCATGGCAATTTTCTGCTCCTATCTGAGAAACGGATATTTTGTGCTGCTCCAGCGCTCTCCCTCTGCTCCTGTTTTTAATAAAGTTAGCGTGAGCGCTAACTTGCAGTGTTGACTTTTCTGGTTAATTAGCATAAAGAGGCATTTAGATCAGTCAGAAATGTGTTTTGAAAAAGGTTCTGCCAGTCTGTCCTCCTTTCACAGATTTTTTACAGATTTTATCAATTTCTTTTTTTATTTTTTAGATTTGGTTCACTTGTTCTTGAATAAATTTGTTTCATCATCTTCAGCGATAGAAACCACCAGATAATTAAATAAAAAAAATCAAGAAAATTCTGGTTGTAATTTTGTTAAATTACAACCAGAAACTCTGGGAGTTTCATTGGGGTTTCATGTGAGAGACCACTATGTTGCATCCCAATAATGTCTCTCTATCATAGATCAGGGAATCTACCAACTACTACTTGTGCTATTTACCAATCTGACTTTTATGGAAGGGTGGCAAGAAGAAAGCCTTATGAAGTTTTGTTTCCAACTTGCCACAATATGTACCAAAAAAGACCAAAAACTAAGAGATCCATGGTGGTAGCAGTATCATGCTTTTTTTTTTTTCTGGACAGAAACAGGAAATATGGTCAGAGTCTATTTGGGGATCAGTTTGAGGTTGCAAAACACTTCAGACTGGGATAGAGAATCACTTTCCACCTGAAAATAATGGTAAACATAGAGCAGGAGCCTCAGTGAATGGTTTAGATCAAAGCATGCTCATGCATTTGCGTGGTCCAGTCAAAGTCCAGATTTCCAACCAAATCTTGCCAAATTTTTGAGTCTGGCAAGATTCAGATATTGATGTTCAGAGATGCTCTATGACTTGCAGCCCTTGCAGCTTTTTTTTTGTGAAACATGGTTCTACAAAACATCAACCCTTTGAGCTCAGTATAAATGTATGGCGCTCTTTTCAGATTTTGATTGGAAATAAAACATTTAGGCTGTGTGAGATTGTCCTTCAAGACAATCACATTCACAATAAACTCAGTTGAGGTTGTAATGAGACAAAGTTCGAAACGGGTCAGGCTGTGTGAATACTTTGTCAGGACCTCCGCAGGGCAGAAGGAGGGAGGTGTCACTTCTGAGAACATCGTAGCTTCTCTGCACAAAATCAGATCTTTTCATGGACTCCTACTCCTCTAAAAGAAAAGAAAATTAAGAGAAATGAATGGATAGTGTACTTTCTGTGCGTGACGGGTTTGACATTTTGTCCTCCAGATTTATCGAACAGCCGTGTCATTACCTTATGCCAGTCAGAGGTCACGAACAGCGTGATATTACTGGAAATGGCTCTGCCCCTGAAGCGCTAATTAGAGAGCTCGGAGCTTTTATAGCTTTTTAGCTGAGCTTTCCACTTTGAAACGTGTTGGCCTTGTTTGCATGCGTTTGCCATGGAAACTCAGTCAACAGATCTTAGCTGCTTATCGGGTGTCGGCTAACAGCTAAACATTCATCATTTCAGCAAAGAACTGTATAATTTTTTATATTTTTACTGAAAAATAATGTTTGCATTGTCACTGCAGCCTGAAAGTTTATCTTCTCTAGCTGTGAAGTAAACAAGTTATTATTTAAAATATCCTCTTAACATTATACTAAATCAGGGAAAGCTGGAGTTTTGAGGAAGCATGAAGGATCAAATGTTGCTTGAAACATGAATATCTCTCAATATTATTAAAAACATATTAAAAAGGCAGCTTGTAAAATATATATCACTCCAGAAATCAGAGTGTGAGGAACTTCAGACAAGTCCGTGCAGTGCAGCAAGGCAGCATTGCGGTATATTTCGTTTCAATGTATTTTTTCTTTTTTTTCCCGCTCTTGGCTGCTTTATCGATCTCATGTCAGGCTGTACAGCTGAGGAACAACTGGGAGAAGTCTAGCTAGGCTACTCTTACTTATTTATGTATCTATTTCTGTATTTATTCATTACCGTGTCTGCTCACAGTTGAATCCTGCTTGATTCAATGGAGAGGAGCGTGACTCCGTGCGAACAAATTCACTAACAGGAACCAGCCGAACTATCAAAAAGAATTAAATGAATGAAGCCACCGAAAAGAAACAGAATGCGTCCCGCTTTAGACACTTTGTTGTGTTTCAGCTAAGAAGTTAGCCTGTCTGTGCTCTGCTTGGTGAATATCGCATCTCGTCTGGCTATATTCGAGTGTTGCTGCTGGGCCACCTGCACCGGTTGGAGCAGCCTGCACACTCCGGCTGTTGTCTGTAAGCACCAGATGTTATGCAGCACTCACAACCCCGCTTCTCTGTCTCCTTCGCTTCCCTTTCTCCTCGCACACCCTCACATCCCTGCTGTCTGACTGTCAGCGCCTTCCCAGCGTTGGTGTGAGACATGGCGTCAGGGTGCCGGGCTGCCAGCTTCTGCCAGCTCACACTGTGACCTCCAGCTCTGCTGCCTCAGCTTCATGTGCCAATGCCACAGTGGGGCACTACTGTGCATTTATACTGAGCTGACTCCTAATGTGAGTGGAAGAGGCTTTTTATGTTGCTTGGGCTGGTTTAAATTGCAGCGTGTACTTTAGGGAAGTACACGCTGAGGGAAGCACATCCATTTATAAGAAAAAGAATTTGCTTTAATGTTGCCCTGTTTTCTCCCCAATTCTCTGTTTTCGCTCACTGCTTTAATGTCCATAATGCGACCGGTCTCACTTGTTAAGAAAACAGGATGAATTGCATTTGTAAAATCGAAGAACTTTATGAACGTTAGATATGTTTTCCACAAAAGTCAAGTTGATTATTGACCAAAAATGATCAAGTGTGAAAACAAAGATAAAACAGACAAGCGAAGCAGGATGTAACATCAGCCAAAAATATTGATGTGATCTGAAAGCAGGAAAATGGCTGAGGAGTTGGTGAAGCAGAAAAATGAAGCAAAGTTCTCATTACTTGACGCTTAGAAAAATAATCCGAGCTCATCAAATATTCCAAGGGACAGCTTTCGATGTGGATGTAGTGCCAGTTTTGTTTTGATAAATTTGTCATCAATCCAAAATGAAACTGAATTTTTCCTTGCAGCATTTTCAAAGATATAATGGTCATAAAGTGTACTGATGGTGGAATCAGCAATGTTGTCCCTATTGGACTTTCCAGAGGCAGAGACAAAGAGTTCATTTTTAAGAGTGTCATTTCCACGTCCTCTAAAATGTCTGTCCAGTTGTACTGACATTTTTTTCAGTTTCTACTGAGTTTGCGGACATTAAACTCCAAGAAAGTAGTTGATTCATTTGATGCATTTTAATGGGAGAGATTTGCAAACAATTCAAAAATTTATGAAAAAGATTTTGTTTTGATTTTTTTTTTGCCACATTTTTGTTGCATTATCTTCATTAAAGAGTATTAAAAATATTTGCTTTTTTAATGCACTTATATGTAAATGTAGCACTTAATACATACTTTGACCACAAAGTCAGTGTTCAGACTTTACCTTTTATTAACTGGAGCTTGGTGTGGCATGGTGTTAGCACTGTTGTCTTACATCACCAAGGCCTGATGTTTAGGTGGACTGTTCTCTAAGTGCATGGTTGTTGTCTCTGGGTACTCCAGCTTCCTTTCACAGTTCAAAACCATGCAAGTTCAGCACCAAAGGGCTTTTAATTGCCCTTATGGGTGAATTTAGCTCTGTGTTTCCCTGTGTCGTACTAGCAATCTATTCAAGATGTACTCTACCCCCTGTGGGGGGGATATATAAATCAGTCTGTTATATACCAGCACAGATTTCAAAGGTATTAGGATGACAGATCGAATCATCCTGGGTTTTGCTATGATCAGTGATGTTGAACACCAGTTAAATCCAGGACAGATTTTTGAGTTCGTCCCTCTGTCTCTGGGGTCACCGGGTCTGCTCTGTGTGCACCGCTGAAGGGCCCGTATTGACCAGTTTAGGGATGAGCGGAGGATGAGATGATTGTCTACGGCATGCGCCTAGGTGATAAGGAGGCGGCTCATGTCCTACTTAGCCACCGGGTCCAATAGCCTCCACATAACCCCGTCTATCCTCTCCGCCGCCCCCGTCCTTCCCAGTTTACCGTGGCCTCAGAAGCTCCTTAGGGAGTGCTGACTCAGGTGGCTGGGTTTTAAACCGCATCCCCAGCCCCCTCTCCATCTTCCATGAGTTGAGTATGACCTTGTCACCACCCACAGGAATGGTGGAGGGAAGGCAGTGGTGGGTGGGGATAGGGCTAAGCCCTCATTAGCCCAAGCTGAGGCGGGACAGCTCAAGAGAAGTGCACTAATTACCTAACTAACAATGTCCTTGGCGTTCATGGCTTAGAGGAGCCACTTCGCCATGGGATAATAACCTTGTCACCTCTCTGAGAAGTTCAGGATGGTATTACCATGATCACTTTAAATGATGGACAGAGGGTGGTGTTATAAAGCAGCTAACTGACTGATTGACTTGGCTGCAGTGTCTTAGGCTGGTGCATCGTAGTGTTTGTGGAGGTTGTGTTTTGTTGCTGGACTCCCTTGTTGTACGAGTTTTAACAAACCTTCTTTGTTTCTCGTTCTCCGTTTGAAGAAAATCACGGGGCTCTCAGACACAGATAGCTACCAATTTTAGCAAGCTACACCCTAAAAATGAAGTCTGTAATTAGTCGAAAAAGTCTGAAGTCAAAGTCCAATCAAGCGTCTTCCTGCCTAGCAACCGAAGGGGGCTGTTTTGTCTGGGGCTGTTTTCTGAGTCACCGGCTTTCTGTGACTGAGAGGTGACTGGTGAGGCCAGCGTGACGCCCTCAGTACTACCCTTCAGCTTTACTGTTAGTGTGTGGAAAACAGCCTGGCGACCAAAAGCCTGACATTACAGCAGGAACCTGTAATCATGGGACTGTAAAAAACCCAAACCCAGCAGCCGCAAACAGTGTGGCCTCGTCACGGTGGTGGCAGCTAAGAACCATTCACCGCTTCTTCCCCGTTAAACTGTGCTTACCGTGTCGTACCAAAATCTACTTCAAAGAGGATTTCGGTGAGGAGACCATTCAAGTGAAATTAAATTTTTGTTTTGAATCAGTGGATGCTGCTGATATGCGAAGTTTAAATTCAGCGCAACGTTTATTAACTGAAACAACAAAATGTGACATTGCAGTCTAACATGTAGGAGCACATTGGCTTGCAAAAGCATTGATACCCATTGAAATGTTCCTGATTTGATCTTCTTAAAACCATAAACGTCAAGGTTTTGTCTGAATCTTTAGAGACAGATCAACACAGTCGTGCAGTTGTTAAGTGGAAGGAAAATAATGTCTTGTTTTCAAATATTTTTGTGTCCCCCAGAGTCAATACTTTGTAGCACCACCTTGGAGATCACTTGAGAACATTAGAGCTGCACAATATTTATTGAATCACGGTCATAAGTGTGCAAAACATTACCAGTGTATTGTAATTGACTTCTCAGACGGGATATTTGGTAGGATCGTTCAAATGTTATGTGTTAATAATGTACTTTGCCCCGTGGATGGGCTCCAAATGCCACTAACAATAGATAGTAACACCATCTTTAGTAGCTGAGATGCTAAAACTCACAGATAAAGCTAGACAGTTTTCAGGAAACTTGGGATAATTGATATTTTCACTGCAGGTTTGATTAATAGTTTCAAAAAGGAAAGTCTTGGCTGAAATCATGGACCCCTGGTAAACATCAATTTTCAAGTTTAGCCTGGTATCGCCAATTAAATTGCATTTCTAACGGGATGAAAAAATTACATGCAGATGATGACTTTTAAAAACATCTTGTTTCATTTTGGGTGTCAGAGTAAAAGAGGGTGAACACACAGGAATAATGCATATTTAAAAATCTTGTGAAAACTTTACAAATTATTTCCTTTGACATTAATTAATTTTATTTAGAATGATGCAATATTGTGGTTTTGGTCTATCACATAAAACCACATGGAACAAATTTAAGTTTGTAGTTGTATCATGAAATATGTGAAAAGGTTTGAAGGGTTGAACAGTTGTTAATGGCACTGACCATGTCAGTAAATTATATTTGAAACCTTAAACCCGGGTTCATTCAGCTTCCATAGAGATTGTTTGCCACAACACAATTCATATTCTGGTGCTGCCATACGCCCCTCAAATGCTAAGCATCTATTTCCTGTGATTATTTCATTTTAATGCAATCAGGATGGCAATCAGACTGCAAACGAAACGCCTCCATGTCACAGTTGTGTGAGGAGGAGTTTAGAAAAACGGCAAATAGACAATTTGGAAGGACACATCTCAATCAAATGAAGGTCTGACCTGCAAACCGTTCTCCTAATCCTACTTCTGGTGAAGAAGGACACAACATGGTGCTTTCGGACTCCTTTGGTTCCGAGGAACCTCATGTTCAGGTTGAGGTATAACCTTAAGCTAAGATTGTGTCGTTTTTTTTGTGCCAAACATTATCAATTACTAAATATAACAGTGAAGGCCATAGGTTTGACACTGCCATTTGATGGGATATATTAATATTAAGACAACTTTTCACAGTATGTAGTTACCATATTTCTGAGAAGCGGCCATCAGTAACTACGGTATAAAAAGAGCCATATTAAGGTTTTAAGCTGCTAAACTACTTATGGGTTTTGAATATGTTCATTAATACATCTTAGTGAGTAAGATGAGCAGGGATGAGAGCTGAAAGTGCTGGATACGGTAGTCTGTCAGAGTGTATTACAGACCTCAGAGCTAAGAGGCGGCCGACACGACGGCCACCTGTAGCAGCTGAGTCTGTGTTTAGCTGAGCGCCGCTCTATCTGAGTCGAGGATTTCTCTTGAGCATGTTTTTTTGGTTTGTTTTGCTAAGTTTGTAGCTCCTTTCTCAGTGCGCTGTCCCTTCCTGTGTGTGTTTGTTCCAGTCGGGACGGCGACCTCTCTACAATTATCTCCAACCTGCACCACACCAGACAACACGGTATGCCCGAGGAGCAGTCAGCCTCTGACCACAGCACCAGTACTCGACACACAGGTAGGAAACCCACAATCGTCCTTCTCTCCTGTCTCCTTCCTCTCTCCCTTCGCGTTCAGCTTGATGATACACGCCACCTTTCATAACTCCTGTTGCACATGTACATGCTCCATTTTCTGTAATTAACGCTGATTTGTTCAGCTGAGGGAACTGACGGTAAGCTTATTACTCCTTCCTAAAGGTCGCTCTTAAGTTGATCGCCTAATGTTCTTCCCAGATTCTCTGCCGCGCCCCAGGATTTCATGTTAAACCCCCTGTTTTAAATGACTTCTGAATAAATAGCTTTTTTTTGCTTTTAATCTGGTTTCATGTGAGCCCAGGAACCATGGTGTGCATGTATTAGGCTAATAGCCTTTCTTACAGCTTACTCATAGGACACAGACTGTATTTAATTACAGTTTGAGGTTATTCATTGGTCATTGTTCCTCGAACGGAGCTCACCACCGTGTCGGCGGTCACTGTCGCATTTTGACTAGAGTTACAAAACTCACTGGTAAGGATTGTGTTTTGTATGTAGGGCTGAAATGATTAATTGGATCAATCGCGATGAATCGATTATTAAAACATTCGTCAACTGATTTAGTAATGATTGATCGTTAACAGACTCAAAAAGAGGCAATCTGCTGAAAAAAATAACAACATACTTGGAGGAATGGTTTTTCTTTTTAAAAAATGTCATTTAGCTGCATCTTTTTTAATGGATTTCTAATGTGATATAAAATTATTAAGTGGTTTAACAAAACATCTGCAGAATGTGCCGTTTTTTAAAGTCTCATTAATTGTCATAACAATTAATGGAATAACCAATTACTAAAATAATTTTTACTATTTGTATGTAAAAATTATTTATTATTTGTAAATATTGTTTCAAAGTTACATCTATAAACATTTAATGTGCCCGATGTTTTTACAACACTATATATTTCAATATCGAAGAGCAGAAATGTCATCCCAACCAACCTGTACCTGTGTGAAAAAGTAATAATCCCCATTGGCAAACTATGAATTAACTCTGAAAACAGTAGTTACTTTTTAGAAAAACGGGGTTCATTTCAGTGGCCACAACCTGGCCCGCTCCCTGTCAGGCCTGTAGATTCAATAAACCTCTTAAATTGAACCAGTCTGGCAACATTAAAAAAAAACAAAAAAACATGTAATTATCTATTCCAACAAACTTTAGATCAGCCAATCAATTCTGATGCCATGATGGAGCCAATACATTTCCTTTAAGTCTATCCGTAGTTCGACCCTCTCCATCTTGACCCCACGAGCTAGAGGCTCAGCAAGTGGCGTAATCACCCCGAGCTGACACCTCTCCCTGCGCGCTCTCCTCCTCTGTCTGCCGGATTAATTGACCATACGGTGCCTGTGATATCAGGTGGAGCTGTTAGAAGGAGGAGGCTATCAGACTGTGCCACAACCAGCTTAAGCAGAGACTTAGACCCCCGTTTGGGACAGATTTCTCCCCCCCTCCCAAAAATCTGTCCTAATCAGCTAATGGAGATTTTTAAACCCTGAAACAGATTTTTTGTTTTTTCTAATGAAGGAGGAAAAAAGTAGGTTGAGGTAAATGTGAGGACGGTGTTAGTGCAGCACGCCCTATGACAAGACCCTAAAATCTGCCTGTTTGAGCATTAAAGGGAGATTTAACAGGCAGGCTGAGCAGCTCGATTTGTGTCTGTAAACAAGTCCAATCCGATCAGCCGCTGGCTTTAATTCTGTCTGCCAGTGAAATTAGACGCAAATTTTTCTAAAACACGACCAACATGTAGCCATAAAGACATGCCTACGCACCGTCAACACAAGCTGCAGCCAAACACAGATGGGCGAGATGTGTGAGAAGTACAAGCGAAAGATGAGATATTAAAACCAGCTTCCTGCTATCAAATTGTGTGCACCCAGTCTGTCCCAGTCTGTGACATTCTCTACCTGAAGTGTTCGCACTGTGAAGAACAGGTTAAAACTCCGCAACAGTGAGAGAGGATACCGATGGAAGAAACGTTTGGAAATCAAGAGAAAAAGAAAGCTGATGAGTGAGGCGGTGGTTCGTGAGGAGGGAGAGCTGTAACAATGGTGGAGAAAGGTTCAGTGTGTGCGTGTGCGCATGTGTGTCAGAGGTCAGGAGCAAAGGGAAGCAGGCTTGCTGGGTTGTCTCTGAGCCGGAGTGGGCCATTAATTAAATCTGAGGGACAGACAGGAGGGCTGCCTCCCTCCTTCTCTTCCATGCTCCATCCTCCGCTCTCTGCCTCCACAGCCACTGGCTATTCAGACAGAAGTCGGAAAGAGGTGGAGGAGCGGAGAGAGGGAGGGGAGGCGGTGGAGGGAGCAGGGCGCCGACGTTGAGAGTCTGGCTGCCTGTGGAGACTGTAAACTGTGGCTCTGCGGTCAGACCAGAGACTCAAACAGGCAGATAAGGTGTTTTCGGGCCGCCATTCGCTCTCTCCCCCTCACTCTGCACGATCAGGCTCCCAGATGTAGTTACAGCCTGTTGGTGTGTGTGCTTGTGCGTGCGTGTGTGTGTGTGTGTGCGTGTGCGTGTGTGTGTGGATGGGGTTTGCAGCAGCGGTTTGAGGCACATTTTTGTGTGTGTGTGTGTTAGTGCATGCGCACCTTTCCCTGCACAGTTTTTAGGTGTTAGCTCGCGTGTGAATCTCCAGCTTGCCGTGTTCATCACAGACTTACTTAATTGTAAGTGGGATTGCTTTGAAAGTCCTCCTGGCAAGTTATTGTTTGTGCAGCATAGAAAGGAACTTTTTCATCAAAGCAGACATGCTAGGATCAGCGGGGATGTTTAACCTGATCTTACTAAAACACACAGGAAACGGGGTTATAAAGATTAAACTGCTTAACAGAGGTGTTAGTGCACTGCTATATTAAAAAGCCCATTACTTACAGATGATTTATCTAAAGATGATATAAATACAAAGTTGTGAAATTAATTCTTCATTTAGAAGAGCTAAATAATTTCTGCCACATTCTTGGTTCAAGATGCTTTAAAAACTTTGTGTCACTGTAATGACGAGTGAGGTTTATGAGTTTTATGTAAGTATGTATGCAGCGGCCATGAATAAAAGGGACAGAAAAATGCTGTTACGATTAAACTAAGAATGAAATCGATAAACTATGATCAGATATTTAGTTATTTTTGTCGTTTAGCATGTTTTCAAGGCAAACATGTCAAAATGATGCAAGTTTTTAAAAGTAGGCAAAAGCAGGTGTATTTGTATAGGATGTTTTAACTGTTCCGATATAAACATATAAATTCACCTGAAAGCAATATATTGATAATAGTTTCATAAAATGTCTATTTAAAAAATTTTTATGCCTGAAAGCTTCTGTTTAATCTAAGAAAAACATCTGAACTTAACACAAAGCAAATAGATATGTGTTCCAGTTTTTGGTACAAGATGAACCAGGGCATCCGCCATATTGGTTTCATTAGCGCTTTGTTGTATGTTTGATGTTCACCATGTGCAGATGAAGTTGAATTTGTGGCAATTAAGGATCCACCAATCAGTCTTTTTCTGACTTGTGCCCCGTTTAGTTTTTCTTAACAATCCCAACTGCAAAATACAATTTTAATCAGACAGTTTTTTCGCAAAGGGTTGCAAAACATAAAGAGAAAAAACCCAGAGTGCATCAAGTTATTTGACAGCGGTACTCGCTTTAAATACAGCAAAACATGCAAGAATCACAAAGACATCTCCGCTCGTACATAACTTTTACTAAACTCTTAAAAAGAGCAGGAAAATGCTTTCTGTTGGTTGAGGGACATGTTGAATTGAGTAGCAAGTTTATTACCATCCAGAACATAAAAAACATCCAGAAAGTGTGCCATTGTTACCCATCAGTCTGTAAAATAATCTACAATTTAAGTGCATGCAAATAAGACCATTTACACCGAGAACACCAGCTTAAAGACATACTACAAGTAATAAACAAAAACAAATAGAGCACAAACAGATTCATGGCAGCATAGCAACAAAAACCTGTTAATGTGATCTTCTCAAAAGTCATGAGTGATTTTAGCAACAAACATCGCATTGTGCCTCATCTTCGACCTACAAAGAACTTAAAATTAAAAACTAATCCGAAAGCTTTAAGATGCATATTGATTTAGGATTGTGTGGAGATAAAGCACGTTATTTGATCATGTAAATAATTAGAATCTCATGCTCTGTCAAAATAAAATTGCAGGTGACAGATTTCTGAAATCAGAAGTCAGAATGATTCTAACAGAAATATGTCCAAGCATAATGTGTTTTCCTGGTTTTAAATAGTGTATTCTTCAAGTTTGTTGCATCATCACTAAGAGCTTCAAGTGGCTTCATCAGGCTGTGAAGTGTAATTATTATCAGAATTCAAACATTTGCTGACCAAGCAAATGTTTGTCTATCTGTCCATCCATCTATCACTCACATCCTCACTCACTCTCCCTCGCTTGAAATTTGAGTCTGGGAAAGCATTGAATTTGAGCATGAAAAAAAGTGCCTTTTGCTGTTTGACTTGCACATGTTGGTGGCAGCGCATCCTCCTCTCAGCATGATCAGAGGCGCCTCCATCGCCTCCCTCCCCTGCTCTCCCGCCGCTCCCTCTCCCAGCTGCATCGGCCCGTAAGCCAATCAATGGCAGGGCTTTCAGGGCCGGCGGAGGCCCCGGCGCACGGAGGGGGATCAATAAGTTATTAGCACCATTCTGTCAGCTGTAATGTGGAGATTGATCGGGGGGCTGTGGCTGCGGCCCACCCCACGTCCCCACCTGTCACACCCCGCCCCGCTGCTCCCCGGCTCCTCGCGGTCCACTCTCCTGCTCTCCCTCCTCCCCGGCCTGATAAAGATGACAGATTAACAGAGTAAGAGAGGAATTAAGGAGTCTGGCTGTCTGCACTGTCAACAAGCTCTATGGGACAAAGAGAAGAAAGGAGGGCGACTGACGTTTGAAGGAGAGGAGGAAACAGGGAAAAAAGGAGGGTGAATTGCTCCTTTTGCCCTTAGATTTGCTCTGTCACATGAAAGTTAAAACGCCTTTTCCTCCTTTCCTGATCAAACTGTCCTTCACCGAGTGAATATAGAGGAATGCAAATAACCCACTGACTCAAAAGTTAAAACATGCCCTGAAAAGTTACCATTTAGACTGTTATTAGCAGTAAGATAATGGTCTTGGACTTAATAATTTGCGTATTTTGACAGTGAAAATTACAGGTTTGAAGCTGAAACAGAGCTCCTCACTCTACAACCAGTAATTCCCCCATAAAATTTAGGAAATTGGAAAAAGGCACAGAGTTGGAAACTTAACTCTAAGCAGTGTCATTGGGGGTAAAATGGTTTGTATAGTTGCTTGCATAGCTCTCGGTTTGGCATTAAAAGGGAGCACCGGTGCTCTAAGAAGCCCCATTTAATTGGCTTTAAAAGCTTTCCGCCCTCAAATCTCTGGCCCTCGGGCGCTTGCTCAGGAGACGCGCCGTCTTGAGTGAGGTCGGCTCAAGAGACGCCTCGACTTTTGTGTGTTTGATCATGAGAGGCTCTGGATGTGGATGTGAGTGTGTGCCTGCTTGGAAGAAGAGGTTTAACTAATGGAGACTAATACGATAGATGGAGACCATCAGCAATTTATTTTTTTTCTCTGTTTGTGAACACAAAAGCAGTACATTGTTTGAAAATGTAAAAAAAAAAAAAAAAAAACTTGAGAGATCATGAAAGTAGATCACAGATAAAAGGGTTGACACATGCATTAAGTGAGTGAATACGTGGTCTTGCACGTTAGAAATTACCAGCTAAGTCTTTTCCTCTTCCCCCTTTTTTGTTGATTATTCAAACCTCCCTCCGTTGATTAGGCCCATATTGGTGTTAACCAACTTAACACCAACTTAACATTTTAAGTTGGTGTTCTCACCAACTTAACATTTTTATTGGTATTTATATTCTAAAAGAAAACAGAAAACTACAATAACACCACAAACACATTATGTTGTGTAGCTGTGAAGCAGCAGAAAATTACAGGTTGATATAAGCTCAGCAAAAAATGTCAGGGATTGTTTTTTGAAAATTTGTAATCCTGCAATGTGACAAGCTGTGCTGCTGTGCTACTGCCTTTTAACATCATTTACCTAATATTTTATGTCTTTGACTTCTGTTTCAAAAGAGACTGTGAAGCGTAAATATTTGTCTTTATTAAGTTAGACATACATTCACCTTTTGTCCAAATTCCAAGTTTCCAGCAGAACATAGAAACGCAATGAATATCTAACGCAGATGGCAGCGCAAAGTGGTTTGCGGAAGTGCTATGAAAATATACCCCACACCGACTTATCGGGATTAATTTCATGCTGCGCTAGACTGACACTCTGTCTGCAATGACGAAGATTTACTCATCTTCAAATCGGTGACATACCAAGAAATTTTCACCTTTTCCTTCCAATGTTCAACAAAATGGACTCTATTTTTTCATGCTTAAGCCAACATTAAAAACATTTTGCATGCGCCAACAGGATGAGAGACAGCTTATAGCAGCTTAGGTTCCCAATCAATATCATCCAGACAAACACATACTGCAATCAAAGACTTGGATATACCTCATTAAGTAGCTTTGATTTTTTTTTTTTTTTTTTTTTTTTTTGAAAAGTGAGATGTTACATACTTGCATATAAATAGCTCTAATGATAATGATGGTTAATAGTTCCCAAAATATCAAATGCCTTTTGGTAATATCCTACATAGGTGCAAAAAGTGTGAGAAAAAGCTGCATGAAAACAAGTCAGTGTTCAAAGCTCATATAAAAGTAGCGTCTTACAGTCTGAAAATTACATTATGTCTTTAGTGTTTATAACATGGATGGGAGTTTAGCTACATTGTTTATGAGGAAGTTTGATACTTATTTCTTTACATGTTTATTTTCTGCACTGAGGCATTTTGAAGAGCATTAAATGAAAAAAAACATTCTGAAGTTAAAGGAGCTTTAGATATTATGTATAGAACATTGAACATGGACCATCTTCTAAATCTGTGTTGGGTTAAAAAATATCAGAATGGTCCACCATTTTCACCAAAGGGAAAAGACGTGTTGTTTATAACGTTTCAAAGATTTTGAAAACTGCTGGTACGATAAATTTATCACTCCCTGGTTAGACATTTTGATTTAAACCCATGTGGATAAACTCAATCTTTGTCAAGATAAAAACGGACTTACTTTAAGATGGTCATATTTCAGAAGTCGCCATTGAGAATAAAGTGGCACCAAAGTAAAATTCCTTGCTTGCGGTGTAAATTCAGCAAATAAAGTTGATTGTGATTCTAATTCTCAATATTTAAATGCATAAGCACCACTTTTTATGAATTAACATGAAAATAAATGCTTCAAACTGTATTTAAAACAACACATTTCAAGATGGCGACTCGACACGGCTAATGAAGTTCTTCTTACTCGAAGGTAGACGACTCTGACAGCCAACGTGGTCCTTAAATATCAAACTGAGCCGGCTTCGGCTTTGCGACAAAAATATGTTGTTTGTATTTATTTCTTTTTTCTTTTTTGTAACTCCGTTTTTTATTTTTATATTTGCATGCTGTTTGCACATGCTGTGCAAATGATGAAAAATTGCTTTGTAGAGAAGGCGCGAGCGAGAGGAATCATTCTCCTCGAGGGCGGAAAAACCACCCCCCATCTCCTCCGCCCCTCCATCCCTAAAAATATGCACCGAGAGGTGAGAAAGAGGAGAAGCAGTTGCTGTCGTGGCTTGGCTGCGTTTGTGCAGGAAGAAACAGAATAGTTGGGAGGAAAAAAAAGAAGAAGAAGAAAAAAAAAACGAGAGGTGCACCAGAAATAAAGAAGACCGAGGGAGCAGTGACAAACGGCTCTTTCCTTCCTGCCGACGCTGAGCGCAGTGTGCTCTGCATCCCCTCCCTCCGTTGATTAGGCCCATATTGATTTGAGGCGTGTTTTGGGGGGGTTGAGGAGGATGGGGCGGGAAGGAAGAGAGGAAGATGAGAGGGGAGGAGGAGACGGCGGTGAGGAGGTTCTGTAATTGTACACTAGATGCTCCTCTTTGGTGGCGGGGGGGACAACAGAGGGGAAGAAGCGAGTGTTAATGGGAGGAGAGACGAAAAGCTCCTGACGGGAGCAGGGCTCCGACACGTCCGGAAGGGAGAAGAGGAAAACTGACGCAGGCGGAGAAATGAGCATTCATCACGGGAGAGTAAGCGAGGCAGTGTAAAAATACATGATTCGGCCATAACGTCACCTGTCAAAAACTTCAGAGGGAGAAAAGAGAGATGATGCAGCGCACTTTAGTGAGGCCACAGACTTTTGCTCCAACATCTGGAGAAAGACGAGGAGGAGAGGGTAGCTCTGATAGCAGTTCAGTTTATACTGATGGATAGAAATTTTTGGAGAAATTGCAGGAAAACGAAGCCCTTGCACCCGCCTCAAACAGAGCAGCACACATGTGAATTACCTGGAGAGATCTGTCATCCTGAGCGGTGCAGGCTTCCTCCTCATCACTGACAGAACAGGCACTTCTCCAGCTGCCCGGAGCTTTGCTTCACCTCCTTCGTTTCTCTTTCTTTCCAACCATCACTTTCTCCTTTGCATTTCCACAACAGCAGCCATGTATGCAGGTACACAACAGAGCACAGTCTCAGCATCGAGGCCGAGCTTTTGTCTTTCTGTTTCTGACTTCTCCTGTCTTTCATTCGCAGACGACCTCCTGGGCAAAAGGAGAAGCTTCTCTCCCAACAGCAGCAGCGATTGTCCCTCTGATAGCAAGAAATCACGCAGTGTCTCTCCAAAAGGTAAGATTCACATGTCATAACAACAAAGGTAAATGGGGTCCTTTTCGTGTAACATACAAGTTTAATATCATTTGTGATGGAAGACAGAACAATATAGCAAAATGAAGGAAAAACTAAATTGAAAAGTGTCAAGTATAAATAAATCTAGGAGAGCTATCAAGTCAAGAGAGTTATAAGTTACATAGAGGAAGTTTATTGTTTGATTTTTCTTCCTAATAAAAAAGGAAGGCCACTTTGTATGAAAAGCAACATGTAAAAGCATCATGATCAATATTTCATTAACTCCACCAATCACAGATTTTGTAAAACTCTGACCCCTGACAATATAAGATCATTGTAATTTCCATTAAAAACTATTCATTACAGCTAAATACTGACTTTGTCTATTGCTTATCTTTAAATGAAAGTAATAATATTATAGAAAATATAGTATAGGAAAATTTATTTCCTCAAAAACAGTTTAAAGTCAAAAAGTTATTCATTTCCACATCTAAATGTGAAACAGAGTCATTTCTTATTACTGTATATTTTATTTACTCCTCTACAAGATAAATCAAAGTTTCTTTACTTTTTTAAGCATTACAACAAATGTGAAAACATTTATTTCTTGCATTTCAAAATAAAGAGCAGATGTTTCCAACCAAATATTTTAGACAAAAAGCTCTGATTTACTGTTAGATAATGCATGTTTTTATTGTTTATAAGATACTTGAGCCTACTTAAGTATCTCAAGATACTTCATCACTCTGCAGTTAAACAGGATTTTACTACTATTTCAAAACAAAGACAATATTATGATAGTTGACAACCTCTTTAGCGCCTCATATCAGTGGACATTAACAAATTACCAAACACTCCTCCCTGCTATAAATGCTAAAACCACAGCTTTGCTCCAACAGATTCATCCTTCCTGCAATCTGCTGAAAGTCGTTCACTTTCTACCAGCTTTGTTCTCTTTTTGTTCTTCCTCTGGCCTCCACCTTATCGATACTGAGAACAACTAACTGAAACTTGCAGGAAAAATCTCCACAGTCCAAGAGTGTTGTCAGAATAAGTTGTTAGAGCTTATGGCATTTAAATTTTGTTGCGCTTTCTTTCACAATGACAATAAATTAATTCTAATTTGATTCATCGTTTGGAAAAAGATTTTTTATTTTTTATTTTTTTATGACCAGCCAATCTTGGTCAAGCATAAAATCACCTGATTCCAGCCACCCTCTTATTTCTTGGTCCTCTGTTTTTGTTTCCTTCTTAATCTTCTCCAAGTCAGTGAATGTTGCTGTGAGGTCGCACTTGAAGTTTAATTTTGAGCATTTTGAATATTCTTCATTATTATTTTTTTTGCCTCCGGTGATTTCAATAAGTTACTCTTTTTTTGGAGTGTTGAACTCCTGAAACTAATGTAACATTTTCAAACACCACTCAGCCTGAAACTTCCCACCAAAGACAATCGAGCTGCTTTATGGTGCCATGTTTTGGTGCTGGTTTAAAATAGCTCAGCAATAACAGCCGTCTCACCTGGGTTAAACTAATAGAGTGCAGTCCCACCGCTGCACTCTATTATTCATATTCCCTCCTTGTGTAGTGTGAAACTAGCCGCCCGGCGTGCGCCGTCCCTGTTCACTTGAGGAAGACCTCTCAGCTGATGCATTATACAGCAGCTCGCCACACAGTCAGTCCTATCAGACAAGCACCCCACACAAACCCTCTCTGATGGTTTTTGTGCAAGATGGGATCTGTTGAAGGCACATATAGGAGCACTTTGAGGTCCTGTTGGGTCCTCCTTCTGACCTCTGCCCACTGGGTGACCCGTGACCGGCTGCAGTCCTGCCTGGAGCCTCTTCCACTTCCTCTGTGGGAAGAGGCACTCATTCCTGGCCATTATAGTCTTACTCAGACACAAGGCAGCTTCTAAAAGATGCATAGGGTTAGTTATTGGCTAAGAGGCAGCCTGTTTGCGTAGTGCTGTGCATGTGGGTTGAGGCCGAGCTTCCTGTTTTTAAGGGAAATAGGGCAAAATTCTATTTAGCCTTCTGAGAGTGTGTAAAATATTCTTATGTTCTCATTACATACAACATGGGGATGAAGTAGTAACCTTGCACGGTCATCCTGCTGCATCAGAGCCTTTAAAATGCGATGCGGATGTTGTGTTTTAACCTTTTGCTCTGTTCACGCCCAAAGCCTGACGCTACACCTGTTTATGAACTGGATTTGCCGGCTGCATGTACTGGCCCTGAAGTCTGGCGACAGACGCTATCTTTTGATGACTAATGCAGGTGAAGAAATAGACTTGAAGAGAGGGAGGGAGGGAGAGAGAGCAGCGTGTGGATGGAGCCACGCCGCTGTGTAAATGATGTCTGTTTTCCTTTCAGCTGCAAAGCCGGCACCCACCGCTGTGTTTAGAGAGAAGAAAAACTTTAGACAGGCTCAGACTAGTTTCACACACACACACACGCATGCAAACACATATACTTTAGGACCTTGGGTGGATTAGCGGGAGCTTGGCGGCGGAGACAGAGATGCTTGCGTGTTTTGCTTCCTCCCCTCAGCACCTCCACCTCCGCTCCTCAGCGCCACTCCTGCTCGCCTGCCCGGGGCCAGACTCAGGTTTCAATAAGGAGGAGGGTGGTAAAAATAACCCCAGCTTTCCCTCCGCTTCTCCCTCCTCCACCTCATCTTCTGTCTCCTTCTTCTAACTCCTGAACCACCTCCCCTTGAGTCCCCCACCACCTTCGCCTTAGATCATGTTACTATTGACAGAAAGGGGGGAGGAGGGAGGTCAGAGAGTGAGAGATTAACCATGAGGGCTGACAGCTCTGTGGATATCATAGACAAAATCATTTACACTGCACCACTTTGATGCATTCACATACATTTTATTCTGATGGGTTTTATTTGTGCTTTCCTTATTTTGAATTGAAATCCTGGCATCGTGGATATGGAAAGTGCAGAGCTCTCTGCAGAGAAACCGAGAGTTCACCATGGGGTCAGTCTCCGCTTATGACTCTGTGTATATAACTTAATATGAGGAGGTTTCCGGTCTGTCTTAGTGAACAATATATGGATAAATTTCTGGCTTGTATCTGAAGAATGCTTCAGGCTTAAAATTAATTCTAAAAGTACAAAGTTTCAGGCCTGTAAACACTTTTTTTATGTACATACAGTAGTTTCGCTGCGTCCACTTTCTCCTTTATTCGGACATTTAAGAACAGAACAAGTTTGATTTTGTCATTGAAATACGTCTCTGTATACAGCCAAAAATGGTGATGTAATAGACACAGTCCAAGTTACAGGTGCCATGGCACTGCTGGGTTAGATAAAAGCCCACAAATTATCCACTGTGCTTTAAAAACTCATTTTAACAACATGATGGAGAGAGTTCTGCAGACTAGTTTTTATCAACTTGTATGGACTACATGCCCCTCCCTACATGTTGCTGTGCAATGCTGGTCACTTTTACCTTACAAGAAATAAGCAGAATGTTAACAAAATATCAAGAAAATCTACAAAGAACTGAGATGCACCAGTCAAAGTTTTGAGTCCGATTTCAGATCCGATTTCTCTGTATTGTTCTAGTTTGGAATTTTTAAATGAAATATCTCAATAAATTAAAAGGACTATACTACTTTAGTGAAAGCTTAAACCTGAAACATTGCAGGTTGCCAAGAAAGGAAAGGTTTCCACAGAAGGGCATTGTCTTCTTCACTTAAGATGAGTTCAGTGCATTTTGAATTGTGCTCAGATGTTTTAATCCACAATCCGTCTTTTAAATTTATCAATGGTTTAAATTTAAAGCCATTTACGTGAATATAATTTCCATTTTATGACTCGGAATTATTATTTTTGGGTAAATAATTTTAAAAAAGTACAAAGAACTAAATTGGTGTTATGTCCTCGTTCTTTAACCCCACATGTACTTTCTGATGAAACTCAGTTGGTGAATACTCTCTCCTGTTTTTCAGAAAACTCCCAGAGTCCCGTGGTGGAGGCAGGCGGCAGCCAAGGCCACATGAGCACCGTGGAGCATTACAGGCGCATGATGTCAGCGCTCAGTGAGCAGGGATCCTTCGAGGAGCAGCAGCAGCGCCTCTACCAGCTGGCGAGCAGCATGGGCATTCCTGGCCATGGTCAGTCTTTGGGCCCGGATTTTTGCTTTGTTGTTTTGAGGGTGGGGGATTTGAGGTTGCCATCGTCCTCGCCATCACGTCCAACACCGCAGATACCGACATTTCCCAGAAACAGTGTAGACTAACTTTTAGTCCGCCTTTCTTTACTTTGAAGTGAAACTCAAAACTTAATTGAGGTTCTACAGCAATTTCCAGTTCAGCTGCAACCAATCCGCTGAGGTGCAGTGCAGCTCTTTCACCTCAGTCTGCAGCGTTGTGTTCAGAGTCCTGCGGTACGCTCTGCTACTCTGCTGCCACGGTAAAATCCAGGCTCTCGGAGACGGCTGACATTTCTATTTGCAGTGCTTGCCCACCCAGCGTCAAAGTGTCACTCTGGGTGATTTCTGACCACCCTGGCTCTCTCCTGTTAACAACACCCACAAGCCCTCACATGCATCAGTGCCACGGCTGGTTTGGGGACTCTCATTGGCTGCCATCTGACTCCTCTTAAATCTCTCAACAACCAGAAAACCGCCAGCATTTCACAGATTTACTTGTGTCTCCACAGAAAATACATTGGTTTAAGCCTGAAAATGGTAAAGTTGTTGGAGGGAAATACATTTTTTGGTTTGTTTGTTTGTTTGGATTCTGACCTTTCCGTCATTACACATCAACATTTTCCTTAAAGTCTTCTGAAGACCCAGCCGTCAGATTACGCAGGTTTTATGAAATGTTATCGCTCTGCATAAATTCAGTTGCTTTTTTGGCCGAATTGTTGTCAATCTACTTTAATTTTTATTTAATTCGTACTGATTTTTAATTGCTGGCTGCAGATCTGGAGTGGAAGGCCTGTAAATGCTTTAATTGCCTTTTCCCTGTGTCGTAGAGGATTTACTTGGAAAATGCGTCACGTTATGAGGGTTTTATGGCTTGGTCTAATCGCTGGCTTCCTTTCCCAGAAGCCTTGACAGTTTTTATCCAGGCCCTCTGGGACTTCCCTGCTTTTGCTTCCATAGTTTAGGAATACAGAAATTTTTTAAACATTATCTTTTGTCCTGCAAACCTTTATTTCACTTTTGAAAAAAAGAAGCTTTTCTTGAACTGTTGAGATTTTGTCACAATAAAACTACAGACTTCAGTCTGTTGGGGTTTTATGTCATCTACCACCACAAAGAAGTGCATAATTGTGAAGCTAAATTAAAATTGATTACAAATAGAAATGCAAAATTTGTGGCATTCATTCGTGTTGAGACTTTACTTTGATACCCCCATATAAAACCGATTGCAATCAGTTCAGAAGTCACTTGATTAGTAACAAAGTGGACCTGAGTGTAATATAATCTCGGTTTAAATCCTACCGTTCCGTAAAAGCCTCGGAGGTTCGTTGGCGAATATTAGAAAAACGCAGTTTTTTTTGTTTTTTCAGATTCTTATTTGTAAAAAAACAAACAAAAAAAAAAGTTAAAAAACCATCAGTCATTTTCCTTCCACTTCCCGATCGTGCACTTTGTTGCTTTTGCTGCTTAAAATCCCAGTAAAAAACACTAATGTTTGTGGTTTTAACGTGACAAAAAGGGGAAAAGTTACAAAGTATCAATGCTTTCGATAGGAAGTGTACGACTGTGAGCTTGAGGATAAGTTTTTGGTAAAAACGTCTGCACAGTGAGTCGCAGTCTGCGTCCTCACATCCTGTAGGAGCCCCAGGCGGCACACTGGGCGACTTCCTCAAGATACCTGAAGACGGTATATTAGTTTATTTACGAGACACGTTATTAGACTTCCTCTTCTCTAATTAACAGGTGGAGCTTGATAAGAAACCGACGCTGTTAGACAGACGATGGAACAGGCAGAGAGATGGATGCTTTGTCTCTCAAGAGGTTGACATGAATCGTCCCGCCGAGGCCTCCTTGACATTGACCTGGTCTCAAATAAGCCCCCAGTGACCCCTTCCTCCCAACTCCCCCTGGGCCCCTCGTGTTTCCTATACATCTCCCTCTCCAGCACCCCTTCCCCTCCTCCTCTTCCTCCTCTTCTTCCTTACTGCCAACTCTCCCTTTAGCCTTGGTCCCCGCAGAGCATCCTTTCATGTGTTTGAAGTGTAGGGCACAGAAAATGAAAGTATGTGTGCGCGCGAAAGAGGCGGGGGTGAAGAGGATCTCTGTGTGTGCATGTGTCTGGTTGTGTATGTGTGTAGGTGCAAGGTGTTGTTTGAGAAGCTCTCTTTGGACCTGATGGGCAAAAGAAGAGAAGGAGGGAGGTTTGGGGGGTGGGTTGTAGCCGGGTTGTAGAAATGGCCAGGAGGGTTTTCCCTCCCTCTTCACATGATGAAAGAAGGTTGAGGGAGAGGGAAAGTGAAATGAGAGGTGGGGGTAGAGATCCAGATGAAAGTGAGAGGAGGAGTTGGATGTTTTGTCTCCTGCTGTTCGGCCCGACTCAAAACGTGAAGCATCTTTAGCATTGTCCTAAAAATGTAGAGAAAACTCAAGCAGGCTATTTGGTCAAAGGACAAAGACGTGCGCCGTTGCGGATTCACCACGTCTTTACAGCTGCTCGGGCTTAGACGACTGGCAGAATGCCGTCCTACGGAAAAGATACTTGAATTTTCTGGTGCATTCAGAGTTTTAGCGGATGGGTTTTGGCTTTTGTCGAGCTGCCCATCCACAAAATTCATCACCGATCCAGCCAAGCTGCATTGGCGCGGCATTAGCCTTTATTCTCGCGCTGAGGAAAACCCGGCTTTACTACGGGGATTTACAACTTCAGGGATGATTATGGCGAGAAAAATGGGACGGTACAAAAACGCAGTCTGCTTTCTGAAGTAACTTAATGGAACGAAAGGGGCCAGTTAGTGTTTGTGTGTTCTCAATTAGGACTTTAATTTGTAATGAGAGAGACACTCGTGTGATCCAGCAGCTGCAACATGAGAACAGAGTTTTAGTAGGAAAATGAAGCATCTGAGTACCTTCTCTGTGGAAACAAACACACACAGACTCGCAGAAGGGCAGCGCCTCAGGTGACCTCTGCTCACGTAAAAGAGAAATAAAGGGAAAGAGGGACGGGAAAAAATATGGACCTGTTGCTTCAGTGAGGTTTTATAAGGATACACAGGATAAATATAGATGTTAATAAGCAGAATCCAAAGAAATAAAAATAGTTACCAGTTTTCACATGTTTTAATTGTGTTGCTTCGTATTTTAGTGTTTTTTGCCTCGTTTCTAGTGCAGATTTTATTGTCTGCTTGAAATAAGGAAAAACTAACTTTTCTATAAGATATAAGAATTTATGTTAAGTCAATAATTAATGAACATTGATTAAAAGTGCTATTCCCTTCAGCAGATTTTTTTCACTGGTAAACATGGAGAAAAGTTTTGCTCTCCATATTTTTATATTTGTTTTGAGATGATTTTCTTCTGCAGCGTAGATATAAGTGATCACTTCTACCACCTTTTCCTGTTGAATTCAAATCATATTTTGTGCATTAGCAGTGGCGGTTCTTGCATAATTGGTGCCCTGAATAATTGGCGTCCCTGTTTCTGGCTCCACACACCAAACACACTGCCACCCTGCCAACAGAGTACAATCCAATGTTGTTTACTGTGTAACTTATTAGAAACATAAGAACACAACCAACAATATTGATCTCGTTATGACTGATTAGGAGTTCTAATGAGTTGTAAGTGGGGATTGATAAGTGGGTTCATTGCTTTTCAAAGTTGGAAATGAAGTTTCATGAATATCAAACTGTATTTTTAAATATTCTGTGTTCACTGATGAAGAGTTGTCCAGTTGATGTCCAACCAGTTTAGACATGCAAAATATTGAAAAAGAGGTGAACAAGTGCAGAGTTCTTAGAGAAACATTTAAATACTCCTTTAATTTAGCATCAGAAAATAGCTATTAATAGGATTCACATTCCCTCTGATTAGACTTTAAATTAGGACTTTCAAATAAGGAATAGTAATTACAGTGGACTGCCGATATTTGCATAATCAAAGTCTGTGAACACAAGCAATCCCTTCTAATAACATGTATAGTGGCCTAACTTAATGGGTCAAGCACATACTATACATTAATATGTATTAATAAGCACAGTGCAGTAGTGTGGTCTTAACTCTTCCGCAGTTATACTCTTCTGTTTCCTGTCTTTAGGGCCCAACCAATCACTTCCAAGGAGAATGAATGGCACTCCTGGATTGGCTGCTTTGCAAGTGTCAACCATTGACATGTCAAGTAGCATTGCACAGAAGCATCTCAGCTTCCCAAGCTGTATTATTCTTTTTACTATTTTAGATATCCCCTCTGAAAATAATCTGTGAATAATTTGGAGTCATGTTTCACATAATAATCTGAAAATTGGTGAATCTGTGAATAGGTGGTGGTCCACTGTAATGGTGTAATTATTTCTTTGTTTTACTTTATACACATTTTCCAGATCTTGAACCTGATCAAGTCAGCATATTGCACTGGCTGTGCCTAAAGTGAGAGAAGTGGGCGAGCAGAAAAGCTAAATAACGTTCACTCCTTTGAAGAACATCTACAGCAACAGAAAGCAAGCCTGAGATGCAGCATCTGAGTTGATGCATCATCCTGATTAGCTGCTGTAAAAAAAAAAAAAAAAAAAAAAACAGTTCTCAGCAGATGGCTCCATGTTGCTGCTAAAATACCAATTAGATCTGGCAAACTGCTCGGCTTGGTATTTTACATAACGTATGAAACGAGTCTAAAGATCCAAATCAAATTAAGATTAGTTCAGTTTTTTTTAAGTAGATAAACAATGTATAGCACACAACCATATAGACCAGATAGGCCTAGAGGCCTATCTGTGTACTGCAACTTTTGGGGGAGGCAATTCAGCCATTTGACTCACTCAGGTGTGTTGAAGCACAGATGAAACTTGGTCAACACTGGCCTTCTAGGTCTGGATTTGATGACTCCTTGTATTTCATCAAAACTTACATTCATAGCACATGTTACCAATTCACACTTAAATTTTGGACGCTTCAATTATTTTTATGTTCTACTGCATTTAAAAGAAAAATAACACCAAAATCTGTTTTTGCTAAATACTGCATTTGCTAATACGCATATTTTCAGCTTTACTCATATTTTCTTTCATCCGTGAGTTTGGGGTTTCGAGTAGCAGCGTCCCAACGCCTAAAGTTAGGTGATGGGATATGGTCGGGATGCCTTTGGGTCTGCGGCATTTATTCCTTTTAAAATCAGTTGCTTGGGAGGATGTTGTAAAGGTCCCATAATAAAAATTGCTAAAGCGTCCCTTGAACAGAGCCAGCCATGCAAAGTAATTGGTGAGACGGGATTTTGACCACAGAGAACTCAGAGGTCACCTGTTCCTCCCTGTCACAAGCGCACAACAGCCCGACTGTGTGTTTTTGTGTGTGCGCTCTGGGGCTTCACTTCCCTCTCATCCTTCTCTTATCTTTCTCAACCCACCTCTACCCCGCCACTTCCCCACAGACACGCACACACACCCACACACCCACACACTCTTGTCTGCCGCCAGCCGAGTCCCCTGTGGCCCGGCGCAGCAAACAGATCGATACACCGGAGCTAGGCCGCATTAATATCTGTCGCTTCACCCCCCTCCCACCACCGCCCCGGCGCCCACTCAGCTGCTTCAGTACACACACACACAAAACACACAGTTGGGCACGCACTAGCAGGCACCTAAATCACGCAGACACACAAAAACACACATCACACCCGTACCGGCGGCGGAAATGGCCCCTAGCTCCCGAGGGATCCGTCTAATTAAAAAAAGGGTGGTGGAGGGTCGGAGGGGTGTGCGTGCATGTGTGCGTGTGTGTGTATGTGTGTGTGTTGGGGTGGGGGAGTGGATAGATTGAGGCAGGGAGTGAGAGGGAGGAGAGAAAAAGCCGGATGGATTTTTCTCTCATTAGAAGCCATGTCTCCTGGTGTGGCCTGGCCTGGCTGATAATGATGAGTCCTCTTCTCCTGCGAGGGAGAGAGGGAGCGAGCGAGGCCGAGGGAGCGAAGAGGTGGAATGAGGCGAGCGTTTGAGGGCAGGAGGTGGAGGTGGAGGGACGGAGGAAGGGGGGCATGATGATGGCGGCGGCGCCGGCAGGGGTGGGGAGGAATAAAAACATTGTGTGCTTTTTTTTTTTTCTTTTTTTTTTTTTTTGTTCAAAACAGAATCTGGTTTCTGGTTTTCATAGTGTTGATCTGCTGACGCCAGTTTTTAACATATTCTGATTTCACTTTAAGGACTATAATATGAGAAGATATAAAGCAGCAGCATGGTACATATTTTTAGAATCTCACAGTTTTGAGGTTCATCAATTATTTACCATAGGATCAGAAGCGAAGTCACACCGTGTGTGTTGGTAGGAAAGCAGCGGCTGTTAAATACCATTTAGATCCATGTTTTGGTATTTTAAAACAGAGATGAAATGATTAGCTTCTTTTATTAGCGCCTAGCAGGGTTACTGCAGTTAGCATTACTACAACAGTCATTTCTGTGTGTTACCTACTGGAGTCTCCACCATGTTTCATCGCTAATACTGATGACTCAAAAGCATAAAATAGAGAAACTTTGCTGAACTCCATTTAGCCTTCCTGTTATCTGATGAAAGTCTTGCTCTCTCTCAATCTCTTGTAATGAATTCAAGACATGTTGTAGAACCAACCCTTTACTTCAATGTAACACTCTAATAGTTTTTAAAAAAGAACATTACTTATGGTTTAATGGTTTAATTGGCTAGTTTTGAGATGTCTTTACTCAGTAAGAAACTTTCGCACCAAAAGTTGTTGTATAGCGTGTTTACTGACTGGAAAAAAACATGGTATTTTTGAGTTTTGGACTTCTCTTATCAAGTCAGTCTCCAGCAAGGGATAATCAATTCAGTTACCAGGGATTTTCTTTTTTTCTCACCTGTTCTTAGTATCATTTAAAAATATTCATGTTGAATTAGTGTTTTTTACAGTTAAAAAAAAGCTTTCATTCGGCCTCCCAGTAAGCCAATATTCAGGCACAGCAAGTTAGTAGATGAGGAATTGGACAGATTTTAGCAGCCTAAAACTATAAATCCATCCCGATCGTTATCATGTCGACTCACCGACCTCTGTGCTTCTCCTGTTTCTGCAGACATACTGCGGGCTCGTCAGGAGGCGCTGGCTGCGGCAGTCAGGAATCCCGCAGCCTTAGAGGCCCACCTGCCCTCAGCGGGCAGCTCTTCATCATCCAGCCAGAGACGTAAACAGGGCCTGCCGCAGCACCGCGATGCGCATTACACCGACAGGTAAAAAAAAAAACGCTACGTCACAAACAGCTGCAGCCTTTCCCTGCTTATAATACAAGGAATGATAAAAGATTAAACGAACAAACAAATAAATAAATATGCCCCACCTCATCCTCAGGCTGAAAGGGTTAAACACCTGTCAGTTTTCATCAACGCACTACCTGCAGTTTTTTCTTCTTATTCTGTCTTGCTTTTGAGAAAGATTTAATCTTATGTCGGGCTTTTTTGTTACACACACACACACCCACACACACACACACACACGCACGCATGCACATACATATATATATATTTATATATAAATATATATATATTCAGTAACATCTCAGCTATACTGCTGTGAAGTTGCACGCCTGCTCTTCCTCCCTCTTCCTCTCCCTCCCCCCCAGCGTTGGCCCCTACGCCTCCCAAACAAAGCCAGGGGCAGCGGGAGTGGGCGGGTAATTGCTTGTCGATTATTTATGTGGCGCGGGAGAGGCGGGGGATCGATAATGGGCCGGCGGTGCGGCAGCAGGGGGTGTGTGTATCTTTATGTGTGCTTGTGTGTGTGTGTGAGAGCGAGGCAGAGAGAAAGATTGGTGAGGGGTAGGAGGGGGAAATGAGCAGGAAGCAGATCGGCCAGGCGCTGTGTGGTGCAGCTCTGGGAGACGGTGGGGGTGTATATATTTTTGTGTGCTAGCGCGAGGAGGGGGTAGCTTAGTGCTTGTGCATGTTTGTTTGTTCCATTTTTTGAGCCTGCGCTCTGATGCGCGCTCATCTATGCGTACTAAATCTGGGTTTGTTTGTGTGAATATGTCTACTAATTTGTGCGTGGGAGTGTGTGTGTGTGTGTGTGTGTGTGTGTGCGTGTGTGTGTGTGTGTGCGTGTGTGTGTGTGTGTGTGTGTGTGAGGGTGAGAGGCCAGTGGCGCAGTGTGAACGTAGTCGGTGAGCCACGCCTGTTCTCTGACAGAACACTGAGTAATTAGCCACACAGGACTGGGGGAAAGTTACCCAGGCCTCACCGTCCGTCCATCCATTACTGTCCAAACACATCCTCACATCTCGCTGTGAGCTCTCTTTAACCCCATCCTTCTTAATACGTGCTTTGCAGTAAATTAAAAAAAGAGTGATGAATGAGGAACATGCTGATGATCACTTCAGCTGGGTGTTCGGCATGTATGTAATCATGTGCTTACCGGCCGTGTGATGGCAGGACAAGACAAGGCTAAACTGTCTTGACTCTTGACATTAGTTAGCCTCTTGGTTTATGCTTCAGCTTCTATTTGCTTGTGCTGGTATAGAACTTGTTCTTGTAACCTCAAACTCTCTGTGTTGTAAAATCAAGTTGTGAAAACCTTTTAAATGCTTCCACGCAAACATACCCCTGATGACGTCACAACAGGGAAATATTTGAATTTTTGGGGCTGCTTTTCCATTTTATTAGCACTTTTTAAATCAAATTCGTCCTTCAAAGGTGTTCTATTTTATACAGGTATAACAGTTGTTTGCACATGCTGGGGGTCTATTGTTGTGTCTTTTGTGATGTCATCAGCTTTTTTTTTTTTTTTTGATTTTGTAAAATCCCACAGTAGGCATCCATACTTTGTTAACAAGTTGTGCTTTTATTGTAAGTTTGCTTGTATAAGTGGAAAGAGAAAACCACAGGTTAGTTTCTTTACTTTCTTTAGAGAGTAACTGATCTGATGTGAAATCTCAGATCTATTCTTTGTTTTCTTATGTAGACAACTTTTAGCTTCTAAACTTTCCTATTTGACTCTCACTAAAGTGACTTCTGCAAATCATTTTGTGCCAAGTATGTGTCAATTCATTCGCGTCCCACTTTGACAACCCCGGGGTTTAAAAGTAACTATTTCTAATCAGTTCAAAGTCTGTTGTAATATGACTCCAGTAAATTATTTTAAGAGAAGAAGGCGACTCATTGGCCTTTTGTTGTTCCAAATGGGGAACAGAAACAACATATTACAAAGTCTTCAAAAAATAATGTAAGACTGAATTATATGCGAGTTTATAATAAACTGTCTTTTATTATAAAGTACAGTATTATGCTTTACTTTATAAAATAAAGAATAATAAACTGCTAATAAACAGTAGTACAGTTTATTGGAGCGTTTAATTCATGAAAATACTGTGAAGAATACAACCGATAAAATGGGTCTAGGTGGATCCTTCATTGAGCATCACTTTTTTCTTTTTTTGCTGCATCAAGCCACCAGTTGATGTTTGCATTAGTCAAGTCAAGTCGAAGTAACAACCAAATGACTGAATTCCCATTGGGGCTATTTTAGATTTGTTATGGAGAATATCATCCTTCGCTTTGCGACCATTTAGAGATCAGCATTGAAAATTATTTGCTACATGTGCATAAAGGCATACATATTGGAAGTTCTCTATTGTGCTGTATTATTCTGGTGCTTGGAGGTGCTGCTTCTTCCTATGGAAGAGTATTGAAATTCAGCGACAATATGTGGGGATATTTTAATCTCTATTAAACGAGGAATAAATCTCCCTGAATTCGCTAAACAGGCTCCTCCGGTGGGTAAATACTCCAAAGTACTTTGAGTCGGTGAAAAGTTTTGGACCGTGGCTTTTTTCATCCCCTTGAAGAGAATCCAAACGACACAGCATAACATTTTCTCTGAGCTGTGGTGTGCATTCACTGTTGCCATTGTAATGATAGTTTTGGGAAGCCCCCTCATATTTTTACATGACAATGCCCCTCTGTGGGGTCTATACAGAAATGTTTTGAAGACCAGCTCCAAAATGTAGAGAAAAGCGTCTTCAGCCTGATTAATAAAGTGCCAGTATATTGGATGCATTAGGCAGCAGAACACTGGTGTAAAATCTGCACCAGTCGTCCTTAAGAACCGGTGCAAAACGTGAGGGCTGGACGAGTTAAAAGTGGAGAGAAACTTGTGAATGAGTCTAATTGCTCGGTTGAAGTAAAACAAAAACGGCAGCAAAATGCAAGCGAGCGGGCGAGAGATGGAAGCTTCCTCCTTTCTAACTCTCTCCGCAGCTCACCTTTCCATCGACCCCTCATCATTGATTATCTGGGGCCCATTAGGGCCCATTGTTAAAAACAAATCATTAGGGCTGCTCGATAGGCTTAGAGCCTGGCGCTCCATTTGTCTGGCCTTAAATGGCACTGGGCTCACCAAACATGTGCAAAGCAAATAGGGGAGGGATGGAGGGAAGCAAAGAGAGTGGGAAACACGGGAGCTGAGGACGGGGGTGAAGCAAAAGGAGACGGCGAGGTGACGGAGAGAGATGAACTAAAATAGAGAGTAAGGAAATCGAGAGAGTGCGAGATAAGCGGAGGACGAGGTGCGGAGGGAGGGTGCAGGGAGAGACGGAGATAGAGGGAGAGAGGGAGAGCGAGCGAGGAGGGAGCCTCATCCATTTTAATGAGCTTCCTGTGTAAATGTGTTCCTGCGGAGAGGGAGCCGAAGGCGGCCGCGCGGCGCTCCTAATCCCCCCACGCTTCAGTCATTAAGGGCAGCCCTTCACACACACACACACACACACCACACACACACACACACACACACACACACACACACACACATGGCCTGCGCTGTTGCAGGACGGGACCGCTGTCGCCGTTCTGACAGGTCGCCACACACCAGTGAATTCCCCGTGAGCCTGCGGCCCCTCTGCAGGGAGGAGGTCCCACGCGATGATGAGTCCACCTTCCTGTTTGCATCTGTGCTTCTTTTTAGCCTTTTAGCAAAGAGTGGAGGGTTGTGTGTGTGTGGGGGTGGGGAGGTGGGAGGGGAAAAAAGGTGAATGTTTTTTCTTCATCTTTTTATAGCATGTCAGTGGTTTGCCAACAAAATGCACAGAGTGCTAAAAGCAAACCACAGACTCTGAGAAATAAGTGCACAAAAACATGTGTGCATCACGCATCCAATACACACACACGTTCGCCTAATGTCTGCCACTCCTTCCTCAAAATTGCCTCCTATAAAAGGAGGAAGAGAGGGAGAGACGGAGGAGAGGAGGGGAGTGTCAGACGCACTCGTTCTCTCTGCTCCCTCTTTTTCCTCCCCGTGATTAGGCCTAATTATGGTGGCGCAGACGCCTGGCAGCCCCAGTCATGCAGCTTTAATTGACCGTTATTCATCTGCGGGCTAACGCGAGGCAAGGCGGCGCAAGGAGCGGAACGAGAGAGAGAATATCAGAAAGAGAAGGAAGGAGGGAGCAAGGAGGTGGAGGTGGGGGGGTTGTGATGAGAGTCTGGCATGCGGGAGCCGCGGTGGGGGTGGATGAGAGTTTTGCGGACGCCGTGGCGTAGTCTGGTGGAAGTGCTCGTCGCGGGGCTAATTGCTGGCCCTGAGGGATTAGGCCAGGTGATTACACACTGGGCGGTGTAATTACATAAGCGGCGGCTAACGGGGTCCTGGCTAGCAGCTCTGGGGTCACGCGCCACAGCCCTCACCCAAGATTAATTGGAGCTGCCACTGGAGTGCGAGGCACCGCCGGAGAGAACGGTTATACGATTAGTATTAACATTTCGGCTGCAATCGATGACACACACACACACACACACACACACACACACACACACACACACACACACACATGGCTACCCTCCCCCCCCCCCTTCAATCTCATCTGCCGTCTCCTGTTCAGCATGTGTCCTTGCCGTTTAGAGCAGAGGGAGACTGGCGGGCGCATGTGAATCAAAACAATATCTGCGGTTTCATGCGCCCCCGCGTTTTGGTTTTTGACTTTGTAGGTCGGCTCAGCTCGTTTCCCGTGTGTGCTTTCGTCCAACCGGCATTCGCACACAGCCGGAGCGTTGATTGTTGAGGTGGCGGCGGAAGGAGATCATGCCGAGCTGGAACTTGAACCCCCAGGAAGGTCGGGGAGACGGCTTCGCTGTTCACCCTAAGGTCAAAGCTTCATGCACTTGACATCTGCCTTGAGTGATGCGGTTCACTCCTGGCGCAGCTTCCTGTGGAAGCTCGAATAAAAAGTCATGCTTCTTGACATAACATTAAACTTAAATGCGTATATTGTTTGGATTTTATGTAAAGGACAAAAAGTGGTGTTTAATTGTATAATTAAAGGTAAATGCTGTACAAACAGACATCTGCTTTGCATGCATGTTTAGCACCTGAGTCAGAACCTCTCTCTGCAGCCACAGCTCCTTTTCTTCTTAGAGTTCCTACCTGACAGCTTTGCACATCCGCTACTCAACTCTGGCCCATTGTTTTTTGGTCAGACAGATGCAATTGAGTTTATTTTGAGGAATTCGGGTAGAGGGCTAGATATGAAGTCACACACTTTTTACTTAAAGGAACGGTACTATGCATTTTCTAGGCACATAGTGCTATTTCGTAGTGCAATCAAGAAACTGTTATTTTCAGTTGTTTTAAAAATGTTGTATATATCAAACATGACATAAAACAAAGTTGACTTCTCAATTTGACATCGCTATAAGAAGCTTGACATCACAACTCTGTTTACAACCTTTCTTAGGAGCTTTGGATTGAGAAGTAGTTCCTATGACAAGCTCAGCAGATGCGAAGATCCACCAGGTGTTTGCTAATTGCTGCTGCCGCTAGTCTGGAGGAGCTGAGAAAGGAAGCTCAGCTGGAGATTGCAGCTCTGAGGAGGAGCTTTGTGGAAATAGGAGGTGCTTTGTGATCAGCAAGTGTTCATGCGCCTCTATGGGTTACTACGGGAGATTTAAGGATTTCTCAAACATGCAGAAATAGTCAAAGCAACACTCCAGGTAGATTTTTAACAAGGAAACAAGAATTGTAACATGATGTAAAGCTCCAAAAATGATTTTCCACAATACTTTACAATGCCACTTTGTTCTCTGAAGGTCTTTCACATAAAATACAAATTAAAACACATTAAGGTTTCTGGTTGTAACGAGCCAAAATGTGCAAAAGTTCAAGGGACGTGGTTACATTGGCAAACGTTGTCTGTGCTTCTTTAGCTGAGACGAAAGATGTGAAAAAGGAAGGAAGGAAAAGTGAAATAAGCAGAATAAACAGACCGAATGACGGGCTCGAGCAGGAAGTCACTTAAAGGTGAAAGAAAGGGGGGATGGGAAAAAAAAATCCGTGAACAAGACTACACAGAAGTGTAGAGATGGGAGTAAAGACCAGAAGAAAAAAAAAGATGGTTAAGACAGAAAGAGAGGGAGAAAGGTGAGAGGCACCTTTCTCCCCCGAGGAGAACAAAAGACGACCGCAATAATGGAGAGGCCTTTTCAGAACGAGAGGTTGCAGGATGCTCCATCTTTTCAATGCAGTGGAGAGAGCGGCGGGGAGGGAGGCTGAGAGGGCCGTTTAAAAAAAAAAAGGGAAGAGGAGGGATGAGTGTTAATTAGAAGGTCCTTCAGCCCCGTGGCCCCGGTCAAGACGCAGGGGCCGCCCCAGCTGTTGGAGCATGACACACTGGCATTGTGCATTCAGCCCTCATTATGTGTGTGTGTGTGTGCGTGCGTGGAGAGGCTGTAGGGGGAAGGAAAGAGTTGCCGTCCAGGGCACAGCAATGGCCAACGGCGGATGCTGCGCCGTGACAAGACTGATGAGGCACCGGGGCGACGCTGGAGCCTCTGGAGCGCCTCTGATAAAAAAAATTAAAAAAAATACTCTGCATACATCGCTCTGGAGGCGAACGCACACTTTTCCCTTCTCTGGAGCTCAGAGCAGGGAGAATCTTTTTTCCCTTTGTGAAGGTGTGCTTCGGCTAAACCCGCATAGCAAAATCTATTTGTGAACTAATGTCTTGGCTTTCGTTTGTGTCTACAGAGAGCTGTCCCATCCGCCGCCCCTCCTGTCCCCTCCAACTGCTCCTCACGTCACCTTAGGGCCTCACCTGCGGCCCCCCTTCCTGGGCATGCCCTCCGCCCTCTGCCAGACTCCTGGTGAGTGATGAACAACATACTCCATCTATATGACTTCAGCTGATTTAAATCCAATGTTTTTTGGTTTTTTTTCTCTTTTTACAATTTCCAAAAGGAATACACTTAAAAGTGTGGTCTGGGTTTGCGGCCCCTTGATGCTTTTGTGTGGTTGAGATTTTCTCTAGCAGATGAAAATTGACTTGAAATGATAAATATTAGGTATGCGCCTTACAAAGCATTTTTTGTTTTAATTTCCTAGTAAATGGTGCAAATGGAAAGCAGACTTGTGCAATTTGGTAAAATCAGGCGCTTTTGAAGAAAGTGACCCACGCTCTGTTTTTGTTTTGCAGATATATTAAAACAAATTTCTAGAAAGTAAATGAAAAACAATCAAACTTCAAGCGATTGTTTGCCCTTTGTTTAAGGAGGATGTTTTATATAAAATTAGCTTTTTGCACTTTATTCTTCCATTTCTGCTTGTAAAAACAGTCCAAGTACTTAAAAAAACACCCATTTGCTTTTCTGGCAATAAGTTAAATGTCTAGAAAACGTATCATTTCTTAATGCTCACAATTATGAAGTCACAACTGGTGCATAATGTGCAGGTACCTAGCAAAACCTACTGATCCCAGCCCGTCATCTAGCAACCAAAGCAAAACTCGAGCAAGACGAGTATTTTGCTGCTGATTTATCATTCACGAACCGCCGCTGCGTGTTGCATGGGTGCTGTTGGAGGCTCCACTCTTCTGCTTCTGGGTCTGACTCGGGGTCAAAGACGTACCGTTGCACTGCGGTGCATCTGCTTGCAACCAGTGTAAACATTGAGTTGGGGGGCGTGGCGTGCCCAGCTGCAGCTTATTTGAATGTAAAGCAACAAGAGCTCCTGTAAAAAGCTCTTGTTTTTGTGAAAAACATATAGTGGACATGTTCTGTGTCTGCCCTCATAGACCTATCATAACATGTTCAAGGAAGCATAATACACCACCTTTGATGTTTCAGATCTACAATGATGTACAGCACATTATTTAATGACAAAAAATAAATAAATCAAAAAGTTAAAATATTTAATGGTTTTCATTAGTGGTCATAATGTTGTGCTCGATCTGTGTAAATACAAGTGCAGACATTCCCATGCCCTTTCAGCACAAAGCTGTGAAATGATGTCATTTTGTGTTTCTGACGTTGTGCGTCTCTTCCAGGCTATGGGTTCCTGCAGCCGGCCCAAGCTGAGATCCTGGCTCGACAACAGGAGCTTTTAAGGAAGCAGAATCTGGCCAGGTTTGTTGCATTTCATAAAATACATGATGGATGTTTAACTGCAGCTGGATTTATTGCATAAAAACAAGAGGTGTTAGAGGAAAAAAAGAGTTCTGTTTGTTAAAGTCTCTGTGTTTTTCTTGCCAGACTCGAGATGTCGGCAGAGCTGCTGAGACAGAAGGAGTTGGATAACCTCCACCAGCACCAGCAGCAGCAGCAGCAGCAGCAGCAGCAGCAGCAGCAGCAGCAGCAGCGGCTCCTTGGGTCAGACCCTCTGGGAGCCCTTCCCCCAGGCCTGCCCCCCGACCACCCGGCCCTGCGCAGTCTCCACGACATCCCAGAGGGACACCCCCTACGCGAGGAGCTGCTCCGCCGTTCCAATGCGATGCTGGTGCTTCGCCACGGGGCCGCCACGCCCCTCCTCACCCTCAACCAGCAGCAACTAGGGGCGTCGTCCACGCCCAAAGACACGCAGGCACAGAGCTCTGTTGTCGGGCTGGGTGGCGAGTCTCGAAAGGCCAATCGCAGGGAAGCTCAGACGGAACTCCGCACCGGGGATCACAGAGGAGGAAGAGACGACGGGGGAAGGGAAGGAGACAAGGAGGCGCATGACGAGGAGATGAAAGACTCTGACAGCGAGACGGAGATGAGCGAGGAGAGGCGAGAGGGGCTGGTTTCCAAGCCTGGCAGTAAACCCAGGGACAGGGAGAGGAGCAGGGGCAAGGAGGCTGGCAGCAAGGCGGGGTGCGAGAGAGCCAAGGAGACCGGAGGCAGCTCAGGGAGGCTGAGCGCCTCCAGCTCAGCAGATACCGAGTCACCTAGTCGCAACCTTTTCACCCCTGGACTTGGCAAGGCCGATCTCAAATATCACCTGCCACCGGGTTTCATACCACCATTGCCTGCTCTTCACGCCCAGTCGCTGCCCTTTGGATTTCCCTACGCCAGCCCTTACTTTCCTGCGGGTGAGAGTCTCCAACACACACGCACACGCACGCACACACTCGGAGCTTAGAGGTGACATGTGAAACCCATTAGCATCACTCTATGTGTGGATGTCTCCAGTGTGGCGACCTCTACTTGTTAGGGGCCCTGCCTTTGACCCCAGAGTGACCCATGCACACACCCCCAGCAGCACAGCCACGAGAGCAAAGCAGGGGGAGGAGGAGCAGTTTGTTCGTAGACACACACACACACACACACACACGGGCCGGCCCGCTTCTGGAGCAACAGCAGCCGTTGCACCATTTATTAGACCGTTCCCTGAGAATAAGAAATTCAGGATGAGTAACGTCTAGTCACTGTATTTCAGCCTTTTGATAAAATACACCATACCCAGAATATTTTACAAAAAAGTGTTTAACATGATCTCATTGCTTACATTTAAAACAAAACCAAAAAAAATTAATGGATGGTCAAAGTGCTACAAAAACTATTTTATTGTATATTTTATCACGACAGCTACGCTGTGCTCACATCCTCCAGCTTACTCTTTGCTAGGCTACCATTAGTTCCCCACAGAGGAGCCAAATGGCCAAAGATGATGGCAGATGAACAGTTTTCCTATAACATTAGGTTGCTCCTTTTTTTGCACAGCAAACCAGCAGTCTTGAGCAGCATGTACACAAACATGATTAACAGTCATAAGGCCTTCCTCCTAGCTTTGATTTGTTGCTTCTGACAGAGCGGTGCATGTCTGTAGACGGTTGTAGGACCACAGGGAAGAAGCAGAGGAGCTAAAAAAATATGTAAAATATGTAAATAAATAAACTTTCATACTGCAGCTTTAAAGTTTCACCTGCTGATTTAAATTGTTCCAGATTATTTTCTTTATTGTACGGTTCTTTGACAGAGTTGGTAGCCAACAGAAAATGAAAGGAATATTTATGTCAGAAACAAGTTGTAGATGACTGCAAATGAACATTTTAATAAATGTGTCCACATTAGGTACTAAAGTTGTATTTAGTTAGGTCTTACATATTGATTATTCAGTGCTTCTTCCCTAAGCTTTTTAAATGTATTTTATTAATGCCTGGTCAGCATTCACTGATTAAGTTGGTTTTAGTATTAGCTGTAAAAGATAATAGCAATTTAGGAAGCACTTTGGTGATAACGACTTTTAGCATTTAGCCAATTTCAGCCTCTTGATTATTCGTTATGTGGGTTTAGGTAGCATTGTTTTTATTTTATATATAAACTTAAGCAAACAAAATGATCTATTTAGAAGTTCCTTCCATATTCTTAGAAATTTCATAGAATTTGTTGTTCTGTAGAGTTTATTTTGCTCTTCATTGAGTGAACTGCACAAGCTAATATTAGCTGGTTACTTATTTAAAATCGATGTTTGATCCTCCTTTAGTTTCCACACCATAACTGTCTGCATTTCCGTGAATTGAAATGTTTCCAAAGACAGAAGCCAGCTGGCCAGCAGTGCAAAGCAACATATGGTGTTCCTCCATCTAGCTGGCTACTTTAGCGCGTTCTCTCGCATTCAAGTGCAGGAGCGGTTTTTAAAGTAACCAGGATGTGGAACTGCTGTTTATGCTTCTGCTTTTCCCTCCCTGCTCTGCTGATTGGCATTTCCGCACATTACTCAAACAAGACCATCGCTAAAGACACTCAGACGCATCGATCCTTTCGATTCACACGGATCGATTGATCTGCTCCCTCCGCATCGACCCCATCTGTTTATCTCATTATTAGACTTTCTTCCTTAAACCCACCCGCAGCTTAAGAACGACCGCCTTTTTTTTTTTTAAACATACGACACGGCTGTGTGGCCTCTGCATATATTGACATCATTTTCACGCTGTTGATTTCCCCCCCCTTTCGTATTTCCAGGCTCTTTGGGGGGTCTTTTCATGGACGGGGAGGACTCAGCCATGTCAAACCCTGTGGAGGACGTCAGCAAGTGGAGCGTGGAGGATGTGTGCGGCTTCATAAGCAGCCTGGCTGGATGTGCCGAATATGCACAGGTGAGAGCAGAGAGGAGACGACGGAGGCCAGGGGCAGGCTGAAACCACAGAGCAGCAGTAACAACAGCAGATAGTCTGAAGTGTATTTTAAGATGACCTTCCTCATGTCGAGGTGGTGACAGTAAAAACAGTTTTCAGGCTTTCTGGGAATGTGTGCGGACGGCATGAATGCTGTGTGTGGATGAGAGAGATCAAGTGTGCATGTGAATCAAATGTACGCGTAAGCATCACCAGTCCAGCGTTCGGGAACAGACATTTTAAATCTTAATGCTTGTAGAACCTGGGAACGCTTTAAGATGTGCTCAGCGGTGGAAAGAGATCAGATTTTTGAGTTTCAAACCATCATTGATTTCCCAGATCCAACTTGCCAGAAATTCCACAAAAGAAAAGTAAAAAATAGAAGAAACAATACAAAGGAGGAAGGAAAGAAAAACTGAGTTCCTCCCAGAAGGCCGAGCTTCTCACCCCGTCTCTAAGAGAGCCCAGACACCCTGTGGAGGAAACTCATTTCGGTTGCTTGTATCCGCAATCTTGTTCTGTCAGCTGCTACCCAGAGGATGTGATTATAGATGAGGGTAGGAACGTAAATCGGCGGGTAAATCGAGAGCTTTGCCTTTTGACTCAGCTCTCTGTCTTTGTCACAAACACACACACACACACACACACACACACACACACACACACACACACACACACACACACACACACACACACACACACACACACACACACACACACACACACACACACAGGGTGCAACGCCTGCATCGCTGCAGACGCAGCACCAATCCGCCTGTCGATCGCCTGCTCCACTCTTTCCTCGTTCCTCCACACCCAGAGACACTTAAAGCCCAACACTTGGGGTAGTTGTCCAACCCCGACCAGAAGACTTAAAACCATGATCCCCATTGTTGGAGGTGCGAATCCAACTCCAACTGGAAAGATGATTTCTCATACTTATCTAGAGTGAGATCAACCACCAGACTGGTGGATGTGAACGATACCACATATTTTGGTGTCAATCCAATATCTCATTTTGATTGTCCAATGGGTATCGATCAACTAGGGACGAGGAGGCAATGAAGGTTTTGCTGATTAGAAAAAAGAAAAGTCATCCAAGCTGCCAAATTTGACACATCGGTTTTTACATAAGGAGGGATTCACCGTCGGGAAATAACTCTCCAAACATCAGTTCTCCCATTCTGCATAAACACTGACGGGTGTGCAAAGTTTCTGCAGTAGAGAAGGTGTTTTGTAGTGGGAGAGTGTGTGTGTGTGTGTGTGTGTTTGTCGGGGCTGTGGCTGAAGCGGCTGTGTCTCTGCCAGGTGTTTCGGGAGCACGCCATTGATGGGGAGACACTGCCGCTGCTCACTGAGGAGCACCTGCTCAACACTCTGGGACTAAAGCTGGGGCCTGCGCTCAAGATCCGCTCTCAGGTACACACGCACCACACACCTGCGCGTGTGTGCGTTTCGGTGTGTTTGAGTGGCGCTTGAGTATGTGCGTGTTTCTGTCCTTAGGATAGCTGCTAGCATAGCGTAGCTGCCCCCCCCTTGAAATCGCCTGCCCCTCAAACTGCAGCCTCTCTTCTTCTTCTCTCTCTCTTAAATAAAGTGAAAGTCAGCATCGTGAAGCTCATCGAGCTGTTCTGACCCTCTTGCTGGTCTCAACTCCACAGGTGGCGCGTCGTGTCGGCAGGCTCTTCTATATGACAGGATTTCCTCTGGCGTTCCCGTTTCCGCCTTCTGCCGTGCTGCGCCCCCCGGATCGGGACAGAGACCCCCCGCCCGCGCCGTCTGACCCCCAGCTGCCCTTGTCTCTGTCGATGCCGCACCGGCCCACCTCAACCAGCAGCAGCTCCTCTCCGTACAGCGGCCCTACGGCCGGATGCTCGTCCCCCAAACAGGAAAACGGCTCGGCGGTGGTGGGGCGGTACGAGGCCAAAACCCCCTCGTAGGAGCAGACGTCCGGATGTGAGCGAACCAGACTCGCCGACACTCGAGACATTTCAAATCGACGGTGAAACATTAGACTGGAACAAGAGACTAGTGGTCAGAGTCTGCAGTGGCTTGGAGACGAGCAGAACCCAAAGAAACTGGGCTGGAAGGGAGAAATGCGAAGTGACAGAGGAGCAGAGGACGAGGGGGGAGAAAGGGAGACAGCTGGTCGCGGACAGGCTGCCAAGAAAAAGAAGCAGAGCCCTGCCACAGGACGCGACATTCTTGCAAATCAGACACTAGCGGAAACTCTTCTCTCCTTCCGGGGCAGGAGGAAGCTCTCCTCGCTCACTCTGCGTTTCTCCAGAATCCAGGAATTAAGAGCAACACGTCTCCCTTCTTCCACCTTCCCTGAGGCCAAGCAGAAGTCACCCTGTGCTGAAAAAGCACCAGCTCCCTCTTATATCACTGCAACTATGCATTCCACTGTCCTGATACCAAAGATGACCGGACGTGTGGAACATGAACTCGCCATGTGTCTGCTTCTTTTTGCATTAATGGCCCCACAGGGAATTGCTGAGGTTGGGCCTCGTACAGCGGACTCTGAGGTCGACCCGCCATTCACTGACGCTTGTCCCAAACAGAGAAGCCTGACGCAGCTGCATCTCAATAAATTCACATATCATTGAAAAGTTCATTTATTTCAATAATTTGATTCAGAAACTGAAAATCGTATAGATTCAGTAGATCAAAGTTTGTTGGTTTAGATCAGCAATGTCAAAATAAGTTTTATTTGGGGCGACATCACGTTCATGAATGTACTGAAAGAGCAGGTTGTGGCAAAATATAATAATTAAACCACATTAAAGTGTTAAAATATGAATAACTCAGTGTCTGGATTAGATGACTTAATACTGAACATCTTTTCGCTTTCATATTATTTGGCAAAATACAGAAAAACATTCTTCAACTTCATAAAACAATGTTTAGGCACAAACGTCTCTGTGTCTCTTTAGGGTTAAGAAGGCCACATAAAAAAAATTATGGTGGGCCAGATTTGGCCCCCAGGCCTCGAGTTTGACAGATGATTAGCATACAGCTAATGAAATCCAAAAGGATTCAATACAGAAATGCAGGGCTGCTGTTATCTTTGTTACCTTTGCAGTGATTTCTACCACACTTTTTCCCTCCACTCAATTTTCAATGAACTCGCTTAGAAACTTTCATTAGCTGTAAGCCAAAATAAAATTAAAAAAACATTTTAAAAACATTTGTAATGAATCTATATGGAGTTCCTCTTGGTGAAATGATGGAAATAGAACTTTTTAATGATATCCTAGTTTATTTTGATGCACAACTTATCAGAAATGGAGAAACCTCAGAGGGCGTCTGCAGCATCCCTTGTACACTTGTGTTGACTACTATTAAAGTAGGACAAACATGCAAAATTGTACAGAATTGCGCTTAAGATGAAAATATTCTGGTGGTACTTTTTGTTTAACGTAGTTGCACGAGTAAGAATTTCTTTACTGACAAATGTGACTTGCTGAACTTTGGTGGTACTTTTGTTCATTTTCTTAAAAAAAAAAAAAAAAAAAAAGTACAACAAAAAAAAAAAAATGCTCAAATGCTAACCCAGCATATAAATATGAGGACAAAATATTTATAGCATTTTGATGTAGTAGATAAAAACAGATTATGATATGTATTAAAAATCAGCCCTTAAGATGGATTCCAAAGATAACTTTTACTTTGTTTTCTCTTGGTTGCAGGGGGGAAAAAAAGGCACAAGAAGCTCTTAATGCAAGTGTTTTGAATTTCTTATGGAATTTTTTTTAACTATAAAAAGCAATGAATTAATAAAAAAAATGTTCTCTAGATTTCCCTTCAGAAGTTTTGTTTTCATCCTATTTTTCTATTCACCACACAGGTGAAATAAATCCTACAGAAAAATAATCTGCCGTCTCCTGTGAGTTTGTGGTGGATCTGTAAAAAATGTGCAGAGCGGGTTGGAGGGAGGTACATGGTCTCCTGAGGTGTGTGTGTGTGTGTGTGGAGAAGGGGGAGGTGACCCATGAGGGGCACAGTTCAGGTCAACACCAGCTGTTGAAGTGTGAGGTTCAGCCGCAGGCCAAGGCCTCCCTGCCTGTGGGGGCAAACCTGACCCTCTTCACACACACACACACACACACACACGCACACACACATACACCAGCCTCAGCAACTCACTCACACTCACCTTCCTCCTTCAAAGCACCACGCTGTGTTAACTCTGATGGGACTTCCCTCCGCTTTAGGCGAGCTCCTGCGCCAGAAGCTTCTGAAATCTACTGCAGAGGAAACGTGACAGGCAGTTGTTTAATTAAATCGGTTTTGTGGCTTTAAAAAAAAAAAAAAAATCCACAGTGCAGCTCTAGATTCCTGCAATATCACCTTCAGTTTAGCTGTGAATCTGTGGAAAATGTGCAGGGAAGCCCAGATAGAAAAGACTTACAAAAAATAAAATAAAAATGAAATAAATGTTTGGAAACGCTGCGTCTGGAGCACATGAACACACACAGTCGGAGGAGACAGTGGTCCGGGCGGGGAGGCAGGAGTTGGCACAGAAACAGAACAGCCTGTGTTGCAGCTTCACCACCTGGGCAGAGTCTTGGCACCGCATCAGACGGCACCCTGCCATCCTGGCAGAGCAGCGCCGCCGCGGGGCCCGACGCCCGCCTCTCCACGCCCTTCTTCCTCTGGCCCGGTTCAAAGCTGCCACAAAATAGCTCCCTCTTTCAAAGCCTGGGGGGAACTGCAGGTGAGCACATGTGCCGAGGATTTACTTCCATCCATCAAACACCACAACCGATTCAATCTTTTATTAATAATGATAATAATAAAAAAAAGGACACAAGGCACCACAATCTGAGGGTTCCTGAACATTTTTTGGGTCAATAAACTTACATTATGATCTTTTTTGTTCTGTACACATTAAGCGATACACAATTCTGAAGTGGAAAGTCCAAAAACACGCAGTGAGCCTGAACCTAACGAACTCGGAGGCTCAGTCTTCGTCAGACAGCTGCAGGTCTTCCACCACGTCTTCCTCTCCCTCCGCCAGTTTTATCAGAGCAGCAGAGGAGAGCGGCTGGGGAGCCGCGGAGGCTTCTTCATCCTCCTCCTCATCGTCATGGGCTGGAATATAAATTAAGACGTCCTTTAAAATCTCAGGCCTGACACATAAAACCATCAATAACAGAAGACAGGAGCGACATGGTGTGAGTTTTTATTGTTCAGTATTGCATTAAGAATCACCTTCATAAACTGTATTTTATTATTTTGATGTAAGGATTGCCCGATCATCATTTCTCATCTCTGACTTAATCTATACAAGATAATACTGTTATTTCTTTTTATTACTCTGTATTTTGATTTTAGTAATCTTAACAAAAATCAAGACTAAAATCATGTTTTCTCTTTTCCCAAATTTATGTTCTTCACTACTCTGACAATAATTTTGCACATTTTCTTCTGGTTTTTGACCCACAAGACGAAACTAATGTGCAGATCAGATGGAGATGACGTCAGCAAGGATTATTCAGGAAATAAACTAACCTCCAGGTTGTGTTAGCAGAGTTTTCATGTTCTTGGTTCCTCTAAGGGACTCTTGGAGTCATTTCTAGTGGCTTTCGCTGTGGCTTCCTGGAGTCCCAAAACTTTTAAAAAACAACCTTCCAAGCCCTTCAAACAGTTTCTTTGTTTGCAACCTTTTTTGATTTTTTTTTTTACAGATCAGAGCATGAGGCATCACTTTTTGATGAGCACCAGCCTGCTTCATGATGTCAGATGATGTTTTAAGTTGTTTCTATAGATTTAGCAGTAATTATCTTCAGGCTGTGGTGAGTAAAATTTAAAACTCGCTGTCCAAAAATGGTGATTATTTAACAAAGGAAAACATTTATATTTCCGCATATGCTCAGGTTGATTTGCACCATGTCGTCCTCATTTGGAAACCACAATTAGTGTTTTCTCAACTTTGTCTCACGTTGAAAGTTGCTGATCAGAAAACATGCGAGTTTGACAGATGAAAACTGAATAAATCTGTCCTTCACACTTATGTTTAATGCATAACAGGAATAAAATCTTAAATTTCACATAGAATTATTTTTGATTAAATGCAACAATGTCCATGAGAATACAACAAGGTTCTAGTAATGTTTTTAACAAACCAAGATTCCTGGTTTTTCTAATTAAAAGGATTCAGGGATCACAAACTCATCAGTTTAGAATAATCCAGCACAGATTTGTCACAATCTAAGTGGATCCTAGTTGCAGGAAAAGCTGTGATGAGCGTCTTTATTAGTCGACCGTCATCTCTAATCGGTTAATGAAACAACTTCCTGTCTTACTTCAAAATAAAAGCATGTGTCAAAAACCCTACCCTCCATATCAATCAAAGATGAAGTGTTAGAAACTTCTTGAATAGCATTAATAGCAATACAAAGCAGATTTATTTTACTGGACTTTTTTCTTTAAATCTTATTAAAAAATGAAGCTCAGATTTGTGTCTCATTTTATATAATTTTGGTATTTGATACATTTAAGAGACAGATAAGGCCCGTATCTTAACCAGTATTTAAGAAACAGGCTCCAAAAATGAATTAAGAGATTAAAAATCTTGACTATTTGCTGAATTATTACTAGAGGTGTGCCGATCATAATCGGCCGATTTCTGTGAAAAAGTGTACGATCGGTGATGGCCGATCACAGTCTCTTGTTGCCGATCACCTGTATCTCATTCGCAGCCTGAGTGTGCAGCTCATCTCCTCCTTCCTTCACATTGCGCATCAGTAAATCCTAAGCAATGTGGATCTTGAACACTCTGAGTGGATGGGGACGTTTGCGTCTCGCGGTGGAAATTTACCTCGGGGGTGAAGCGCATCAAAATGCATCAACACAACGAATCTAATGTGACATTTAAAAAAAACAAACACTTGACGGAGTTTGTCTACGTCGAGGCTCAATGCAGGGAAAAGAAAAGGACATCCAGAGCGGCCAGTGAAGCAGCTACCAACAGTCTGGATTAGCATCAGAAAGCTAAACTAATAACCTGAAAAATAAGTTAAGTCTTGGAGCTGGCAGCAGAAAACCTGATCAGAGAATCCCTTGTTATTACTTTAGTATTAGTGTGTACTTACATAAATTTGTTTTCATTTGTATTTAGTTCATTTCTGAAGATCAAACCCTCCTTGTGAAGAATAATTCAAAAATAAACTCATGTTTCATTGCAGCATAATCTCAAACCTAGAGAGTGACCTTTAATTTAATTTCCATACATGAATTAAATTGGGGAAAAGATTAACTTGCTAAGAAATCTTGTTTTGTAGGTGAAGATAATGTCGGAACCGTTTCTGTTCTACTGTCAGGAATGTGATTATGAGAATTAGAAAATAAAAAACACTCCATCTGGGGTTTGGGTCCCTCCTGCTCACTGTTAAGCATGGTGGAGGATCAGTGATGCTGTGGGCCCCGTTTCTCCTCCGAATGCCCGGGAATCATCTTTAGACATACCAGTGGCACCACTGAGGTTTTTCAATGATCAACCTAAGTAAAGATCTGGTAGAGTCATCATGGAGTTTTCCAGTAAAAAATTGATGCATAAATGGCCAAATCAGCAGAGAAAACTCTCAGTTCTGAATCGAGTGTCATCTTGATGGGTTTAATGGGGACTAGTAGGAAATGGTACAGTCAGTCGGAGGACCAGTAACTGTGCATATTTGCCTAAAATGAACAAAAATCCTTCATTTTACACATTTATACTTCTAAGTTTAATAAAATGACTGAAATTATCATCCAATAATCAAAGTAAAACCTTTATTTTTTTCGACGCCGATACTATAACTGACCTGAGTCTTCCTCCCCTGACCCTTCCTCGTCGCTCCCGTCTGAGGAGTCCTCATCTTCATCTGATTCTTGGTTGCTCTTCTTGCCTGCGAGGAAATAAGAAGCAGAAAAAAACCCATCAAAGTGCGCAGATTTTTTGTCTCGCGTTTCTTCCCTCAGATGCTCATGAAGCTTGCACCGCCGCACCGCCGACGTCTGAGGACTTTGGAGACGCGGATATGTGGGCCAGGTATCAGAGGCAGCTGGAAGTGTCTATTTCCCCCTGAGATGGAGCTGAGAGTCGATTACAGGCGCCGCTGCCGCTGCTGCACAAACACCCATGACAGTTTACTACCGGCAATTTCAGACATCTCCTGCTCACGGCCTAAATATAGCAAATGAAGATAGCAGACAGGTTCCAGAGCTACAATCAGGACGGCAGTGTGTGTGTGTGTGTGTGTGTGTGTGTGTGTGTGTGTGTGTGTGTGTGTGTGTGTGTGTGTGTGTGTGTGTGTGAAGTTTGGAGTTCTTCTGAACTTGTCCTCAGAGGAGATTGTGTGTGTAGGTGTGTGCGTGCACGTGTGTGTGTTGTCTTGCCAAAGGGACAGAGCGGGGTCCACGGGCTTTGAAGTTGGAGACGTGATGAGAGGCTGACGGCGTGATGGAGAGAGAAGCAGCGCTGCTTCCTCTGCGTGGAGCTCCACACACACACACACACACACACACACACACACACACACACACACACACACACACACACACACACACACACACACTCACGCGCGCGCACGCACACACGCCGACACACACACGCAGAGAGATAAACAACGTCTACTGAAGCATCAGGTAGCGCTCTGCTCCCGTCTGAATTAGAGACAACAAACGTGCGCGCACTCTTTGAGGCTCACACACCGCACGCAGATTTCCGCAGCGCTGCCTCAGAGCGTTGCCCCCAGATGACCTGGATGACTTATAACCGCCACTGAATCATCAGTCCTCGCTCCTCTCCCTCCCCCCACCGCTTCTCGCCAGACCCGGCCCGGACGGCGGAGTGGCGGCCGTGCGTTCAGAGGGAGCCGCCACCTCTGGCTGTTCCAGCAGGCTGCTTTGAATTAGAGCCCCCTCCCTGCTGGGATGCAAGCCTGTACTTCCTGTTAGGGGGGAATTTCAGCTCATGCGTGTGCGTGTGTGTGTGCTCGCCAGCAGCGGCCCATCCGTTTGTGGGGGCTCTCCCTACAATGAAGTCCAGATGCATTGAAAAAGAAAAAAAGAGAGAGAGGGAGAAAAAAAGGGAAAATTAAACCCTGCCACAGCCTCCTCCTTTCCTCCAGAGGGATTTTTCTGGTTGGAGTGCGTCCGAGCGCTATGCTAGGCTGTGGGAGAGAGGCTCCAGCTGCATGTGACCCGCCAACGACCCCGTGCGCTCAGATCGTACGGGGAGTTAAAAGGATGAGCCGGCTCCTGGTGGAGGGGCAGCGGACCAGAGCGTC